TGGCTGGCAGATAATTACAGCAGAATGGCGGATAATGAAACAACAAAAGCAATTAATACCGGAGAAAAAAAAATAAAAACCGCTCGTCTCGTCGTTGAGTGAAAGAAGACACTTTTTGCGGTCTGGGCGATTCGTTCAAATGGAATTCTCATCGATTGTGGGATATCAACCTTTCGTAAACCTTTTCTTTTACAAAAAATGTATAATAATTAGAATATATCGAATTAAAGGGTAGTCATTCTGATTATATCGAGGACCAGTGAAAACATCGATGGTTAAATAAACCAAGAATATCATTCTTTTTAATTTTGTATATTCAAATTTTGTAATATGTAGTTTGTTGGTCATTTTGATCAAAAGCTTGTTTATTTCTGGCTACTTAAGGTAGCCATTTTAACAAGTATTTTTATCATTTTTGAATATTTCAATAAATATTTTAAGAATTTGAAGATTTTGTTTATTTTTCTTCTATAAGTAATTTATCTATTTACATACAACAATTATGATTTACGAAGACATTTATTTACAGGCTTCATTTACAAAAGACAATTTCGAATAATGCCTTTTTGAAGTAAGTAATAGAAAATTCTACATTAGGTAATACCGGTTGAAGCGTCTTTTAAACGAAGTATTAATATTGTATTATAGAAATGGAAATTCAACATTTCAATTTTTAAACAGAAACTTTTACGACCTTATGCACTCGGAGCGTTCAACTCGCAGAAGGAATTTTTTAAATTTCATTAACTGAAACGAGCGCCCCCCGGGCCCGAAGAGACCGGAGCGCGCCCGTCAGAGGGCCCTCTCACTCGCCCCTCGATCGCATTACCGCGGCGCGTACGTGTCGACCATTTGCATAAATATGTACTTTTTCGAAAAAAGGAAGAAACAAAGCGGAAAAAAGTGAAAAAATAGGCGAAATGCGATGAGTCGAACCGGCTCTCTCGGCTCTAATCGCCGGCCGCTTTTTGATTAACGCAACGCGACCAAAAAAAAAACTAGAATTTCTGGTGCTCGGTGCTTTTTTTCTTCCTATTTTTCGGGCAGGTACTCACCTGTGGGTACTCCCGTTTGCACCACTACTTCTTTCTTCGTTAAAAAAAAACTTACGTAAAATATGTGACATTTTAGTTTTTATAAAAATGACATAATTGACAGATTAAATCGGCCAACTATAACAAAACAAACTTTAATTTTAAGTCGTGCACTTGGCTTTTTCATAGAAAACTAGATTTTGTACTGCCAGGTGCTTTTTTTCTTCCCATTTTTCGTGCAGGTACTCACCTGGGTACTCCCGTTGCATCACAATTCAACCACTCACTCTTCTCTCTTCGATGCAAATAAAAATACAAGCAAAATTATTGATATTGAGGTTTCTACAAAAATGACATATCATTGACAGATGAAATCGGCCTCCTATAACAAAAAAAACTTTTATAACTACATGTCGTAAATTTGGTCTTTTCCTAAAAAACTAGATTTTCTGATGCCTTCTTGCTTTTCTTTCCTCTTCTTCGTACAGGTACTTTGCATCACAAATCAATCAGGCACTCTTCTACTTTCTTCGATTTAAAAAACTACACAAAAAATATTTGACATTCTCTAGTTGTTATAAAAATGACATTTAATTGACAGATAAAGACGGCCTACTAGGTATAACAAAAAAAACTTTAATTTCAAGTTGTGCACTATTTTGGCTTTTTCCTGGAAGACTAGAATTTCTGGTGATTATTGCTTTTTTTTGTGCAGGTACCTTGGGTGCTCGCGTTTACAACACAATTAAACCACTTAAATTACTCTTCTCTTTTTGATGTAAAAAAATACACGCAAAATAATTGACATTGAGGTTTTTACAAAAATGACATACTATATATCATTGACAGATGAGATCGGCTTACTGTCACAAAAAAACTATTATAACTACATGTACCTGATGCCTTCTTACTTTGCTTTCCTCTTCATCGTGCAGGTATACCCATTTGGGTACACACTTTGCATCACAAATCAATCACGCACTCTTCTACTTTTTTCGATTGAAAAAACTTCACCTAAAATATTTGACATTCTAGTTTTATAAAAATGACATAAAATTGACAGATTAAATCGGCCTACTACAACTAAACCAAAAAAGCCTCTACATCATGTTGGGTAACATTGGCATATTGCTTAAATTTTAAGCAGCCTAATTACATCGACGCGATGAAACCGGGTAAATTACCGATAAAGATCGGCTCATTTTTCCATCCAAATTAATCCTCATCGCAAAACGTTATCTTCAGGAATCTGCATGGCGCTCGGAGCCCCGATCTCGACGAAAGAGTCCTCGCGCAGCTTGTGGCGAACGACCGGCCGGCGAGGCAACGAGTCTCGAGTCATTTTACCTTCATTGTAAGATTTTTTGCGGTACTTGAACGGCCTTAAACTCGTCTTTCTATAAAGAAGCGAGGAATACGACGACTATGAAGAAGAAAAAAAAAAGCACGCACGGAGGAGAAGAAGAAGAAGAAAAGTCGTCGTGGTTTCGACGAACAATTATATGAAAAAAATCGCAGCGAGAGATGAGGTTTGCAGTCGGTTGTCTCGCGTTTCGAATAACAGGTTCTTCGACGGCGAGAGAGTCAACGGCGATATTACTCGTTATGTTGTATTATACATACGTACACATCGTTGTTAAAGTGTATTTAACATCGCAGACCTTCGGGATGCTTTACGGTTTTTAGAGTATTTTCAGCGGTTAACAAGTTTTTTCTCAAATCAATGTACTATAAATGGCTGTCGCTTTTTTCGAGAAGTCTATAATAAATTCAATAAGTGCGTTCGTTCAATGGCGTCGCTTTAGTTTTCTCCATTCATCTACCCTAAACAGGGTACACAAGAAACGAATACATAAATGACTCTAATAGATCATTGACTCTACCTCTTGGGTATATATTGACTCTCTTGGAAGCAACCGATTATCTCAAGTTCTTATCTTATGTGATATCTTAAGAATATAATTGGTTCTCTTTAGCGCATCATTACTCTTTTAAACGGTTAAATGGCTTCTTTAGAGAGGAATTGTTTCTCTTTGATCTACAAATTACTCTCTTGAGTACCTCATAGGTACTGTAAATGGATCCCTTGGGCAAATACGATTCTCTTAAACAAATTAGTCTTGTATGGGTAAATCAATAAATAAATCAAGTCAGTGACAAATATGATCAGAATAACTACCAGAAACAGGAATATAACCAATGAATGTACTAATATACTAATTTAGGTAGTAACTTTTATACAGGGTGTTCCTAAACATCGTGTACATCCGAAAGGAGGTGATTCCTTGGCTTATTTTATGAATAGTTTTTATAGTTTTTATAAACATGGGTCCGCAAACGCTTCGTTACCGAACTACAGGGTGTTGAAATTTCAATTTTTTTTTTGTTTTTTCTTTGTAGCTCCTGCACTTTTTGAGATATTTAGCTCAAATTTTTAATCTAGATTGCTTTATAGGGCACACATTAATGGGTATGTCAGCGCCGCTGGTAGATTCTAAAATACAAAATGAATTGCCTGTTTTGTTTAAAAACTTTTGCATCTCCATTGTCGTTTCCATAAGGCATTTCCCGGTGGGGCGTGAGTTCTGGGCCACCCTGTATAGTTAATTGTATCTTACATGAAAAAATAGATTCGTTCAACAAGTCTCTTGGGTAAATAATTCTTCTTACTTCAATTAGGAAAAGGACGACAATGATTAAATGAGCGCTTAGGTACTAATTATGATTTCCTAGGACTTGTAACATTTCCGGCTGAGGGTTTTTTTGCGAAGAATCCGCCACTGGTCAATAATGGCGATTTTTAATTGCCATTAAGGCTCGCCGTATTTGTCCGGAGCTAATGCACGCCGCTCGACGTTTATTTCGCTTTATGCTTCCGAGAAATCCTCTTCTAGGCAACGATAAAAATCCTCTTTTTACAAGTTTTCGCGTCGGCCATTCGAAATTGTCAATAGTTAATTACGGCCTGGCGTTTTTTTGCGCTTTCCCGGTACTTACGGATAGTCGCACTATTATGCTATACTCGGCACGTACTGCTGGAGTACCCATTGTTTTTTAAGGACAATAGAAGAGAGACGAAAGAGCGCACTGGAAACATCACTGGTGGGATTTTTGCGACGATTATCAACGATTTAGATGTTTTTTAGAATATACAGGGTGCCTTCATAAGGACCGGCAGCATAAATAAAGTGCAGTAACATACAGTTGGTGCAAAACAAATATCAATCCACGTCATTACTGTCGTCATTACTTACCAATGCCAAGCATTGTGCCCAACTTTTAAAAATAAATACACTAAATAGATTTAGCTTAATACCTGCAGAATTTAATTTAATATTAACAAGGGATGATATGTGATATGGAAAATGTTGAAATGCAGAATTAAATCATCCAAAAAAATATATATTATCAAAATTAGGTGACGTACATTGATATTTGTTTTGCACCAACTAGAGTTTATTCTCCCCTGCCCTGTGTCGGTTCTCATGCGGGACACCCTGTATATCTCATAATCAATTTCATGTGCCTCGTTTACTTCGCGAGCTCGACTTTAATAACACCATCTTCATATTTTCTGCCCGTCTATGTATTCTTTTTTAATAATTATCTCTATAGCCCATTCATATAAAAAAAACAATGATAATGGCGCTTCCTTTTTTTAATGGCGCGAACGGTAAGAGGCCACCGTTTTCTCACAAACATCGAGAAATTTGCAAGTAAATAGATCTAATTAAAATTACAGCAGATTACAGTCCGCTCGGTTTTTTTTCGTATCGATATAATGCGAATAAAGCGAGGAGTGGAACATGATCTGGTTGTAAAATAGAATCGAGACGAATGGAACTCGATACCGATGCGACTCGATCTCGAGGCGATCATTGACGCTTTGTTACGCACTTTTCCTCGGAGTTATTTAATTATATACACTTTTATAATTCATCCTAACGACTTTTTTTATTGTAATGTCGGGCGCCTTTCTAATAAAGGGTAATTGTCCTTATGATTTATATAAAAATTAGTAAATATGTGTATTTCTAGTGATTTCGGTGTGGTAAAGTAATCTAAAACCAACGCTGAAAAAACTTACAGTATTTTTAATCTAAATAACATATTATGTACAAAAATAACTAATTAATAAAACGTAAGTAACTTAAAAATAATTAACTCCTTTTCGATGACTCGAATACCATTCTGTCAATGATTTCCACCGCTTTGAACTCGTCGAGGTTTTCCAAGAAATTCCGGATTATCCAAATGGAATCCTGGTTGGTCTGATGAAAAATCAACAAGCAAGATTATAACAAACATCTCAATTATTCATTAAATCTCTCACCTCTATGGAATACCTCAACACAGCTTTACTCATGCTGACGTCCGAATGGATTATACCGCTGTTAATTAAATGCTCGATTTCCAAAAGTTCCGCCAAATATTTCCAGTTTTCACTTCTATCCAGCAACCCAGACACTTCGTCCAGGCATTGCGGCGTCAATTCTCTCACTTCTTTGTACATGCTCTCCAGTTCATCTTGAGAGATTTGAGGTAACTCTGTTTTTATTTCGACATCCTCCTACAAATAATCACCATTATTATAACATAATAATTATTAGGTAATTAGAAACGCACGTCGATTTCCATGCCATCTTCCGAATCGCTTTCCGGCTCTTCTTTCACCTTGACATCTATGTTATGCTCGCTCTAAAATAATTAGAATCAATAATCCAAACTCCTTAATTGAATTTAAACAAATCACGCCGAACGTTTGTGTAAATAAACTAATTACCATATAGCTCCGTACGGCCCTGGATACACCCTCTTCGATATCTTTGTCGAAAGCAGCTTCCCAAGGCGATACGTTTTGGAAATCTTTAATGTAAATATTTATCGAATCCAAGGAGAGCAAATAACTGACGATATCGGCGTGTCCTTTTTCAATAGCTAACCTCAAAGGCGTGTAACCGTTCTTCGGGTGGATCTTGTTGATATCCGCGCCCTTCCGACAAAGCAATTTAATGAAACTCAGCCTCTTCTGATCAATGGCCATTACCAACGCAGTGTTGCCCTCTGACAAAGAAAAAATCCTACATTATAACAGAAATTAAGGCGAGGATACACGTGTCAAGTAGCTAAAGCAAGTTACTAAATCAAGTAACTAAATTTAGTTACTTGTATTGTGTGGACAACTTGATATAGTAACTTGTGCAAGTACCTAATTTAGTAAACTACTAAATCAAGTTGTCCAAACAGTATAACTAAATTTAGTTACTTGATTTAGTAACTTGCTTTAGCTACTAGACACGTGTATCCGCGCCTTTAGAGTGAATTTGAACTACTCCGATCGAATAGTTTTAAAAACCTACGGTCATTCTCGGCATCGATGAATTCACCGACGGTTTCGCATTCCCTGTTTATCAACAACATTTCCACTATATCGATGGTGGCATTCGATTTGATGGCCAAATGTAAGGCCGTATTCAAATCCCCGTCGGTCGTACGTATTCTGGCTTTGCACAACAAAAGGGAGTTGATGATAACTTTATTGAAACTCAACACGGCCAAATGTAGAGGAGTTTGATTGTCGCTGTTCGTTTTTTCCAGCATGTCGAATTGCCTGTAGAATATCATCACTTTCAACAGCAACTTGGCCGAATCGTTGTCGCGCTGGCTGATCGCCACGTGTAGAGCGCTAAAAAATAATTTTTAAATAATTCATAATGTACGACAGAATCTACTGCAAAACCAGGATCATCCGTAACAGTTCTAAAATCGTTCTGAATCATCCAAAAATCATCCTTAACCGTCTTAGAACCGTTATAAAATCATTCTGAATGATCCAGGATCGTCCTTAACCATCTAAGAACCGTTCTAGAATCATTCTGAATGATCCAGGATCCTTAACCATCTTAGAACCGTCCTAAAATCATTCTGAATTATCCATGATCATCTAAACCATCTTAGAACCGTTCTAAAACCATTCTGAATGATTCAGGATCATCCTTAACCATCTTACAACCGTTCTAAAATCATTCTGAACGATCCAGGATCATCCTTAACAATCTTAGAACCGTTTTAGAATCATTCTGAATCATCCTTAACAATCTCGTAACCATTCTAGAGTCATTCTGAATGATCCAGGATCATCCTTAACCATCTTAGAACCGTTCTAGAAACGAATAATTACTTGGTTTTCCCGTCTTCGTTGAAATAATGCTTCAACATTTTCACAGCCAACGAGGATTCGTGCTTGGTCCTGATAAACTGTCTGATCTGTTCGATAACGAAGGAGGCCATGCGTCGCTCCTCGCTGCCAACCTCCAATTTAATCGTCTCCCTTCTGGACGTCCTACAAACAAAACAAACCCCTCGATAAATCATCTCGACTATTTAGGACAACCATCGAAGCCCTTTTAGGGCTCTTTCAGACGTCGATACTGCGTCTGAGACGAGCGTATCTCAGATACCAAGTGGTCTCAGACGGAGCATCCGTATCGGAAAGGGTTCTTACTCGTGGGCGGCGGCGGCGGGAGCGTCCAAATCCAACGACATAAACGACTCCCCGTGCTCGACGAAGATCCTCTTGAACTCGTCGGAATCGATGTTGTCGATGGCCTTTTTGATTTCGTCGCTCAGCCCGCTCGGCACGTTCAACGGGCCGAATTCGACGGGTTGCGCCTGCGCCGGTTGGCCGATCTGCAACGTGCTAATGGGCACCGGCAGCTCGTCGCTGCCGAAATTCGACGTCGACGAGCTGTAGCTGTAGCTGTAGTCGTAGCGGGCGCGCTTCTGGCCCGTTTTGTAGTTGTTCTTGTTGGGTATGTAGCGAAAGTCGCGCGGCTCCGAACGGGCGCCGTCCGTCGGCCGGACCAGCTCGATGTACACGCGCACCGGCGACAGGATGTCCTCATCGCGGTATTTCGGCGTCCTAAAAAATCCATAGATATACTATATAACTAAAACGGATAAAACTGTTTACAAAATTTTAGGATACCAACAATAGGTCACGGTCTAACGGAAAATAGAGGAAAACATTGCATGTTGTCGCGCTATTTTTTACAATTTCCTTCTGCTATATTTTTTAATTTTATATCCTTATTATGTAATCGTCTTAATACTAAAGTTGTCACTGTTCTTTCATACAATATCAACAAAATTTTCATACATAATATTAAATAATGTTATATTTTTACCATAACAATTATTAACATAATTAAATTCTTATTTAAAATATATTTGCCTACGCTCAAGGCGCCTGATTGGATCCGCCATGTTACCTCTATTTTTCTATCTTACTTTTTCTGCCTCGCTTACTTAATAAGAGACAGATAATTTTCAATGTTGGCGTCAAAAATTTTTGAATTTATGAATGACTGGTTGGGGATGTGTAAAAATCACACAAACTTCCATTAAACTCCTTCATATAACCCTTAGCTCTTGTATATATTTCCGAATAACTGATGCCACTATAATCTTCCATTAATTTCGTAACCCTCTAAACCCCTACAAGCCACTGCTTTGTGTCGTCTTGCGTCTTCTTATGCGGGACACCCTGTATATTCCCTTTGTTACTTACCTAAAGACTATAGCGTACTGATGATGTACGTCCAAGTCGTTGAAACGTCCCCAATCTTGCCAAACTACTCTGTCCTCATCATCCAATTCATAGAACCGAATTTTTATGTTTCCTGAAAAAAAAAACAGTAATATTTTAATGGAAATCATCACTTGATATAGAGGGTGTCCCTGAAATAAGTGGTCAAACTTTAGGAGCAAGTAGAGAACCTCAAAATATGACAAAAACTTAAATGTCATTTAGTCGAAATGTCAAGTTTTTGAAAAAATTATGTAAGTTTTTGTCATATTTTGAGGTTCTCTACTTGCTCCCAAAGCCCAAAGTTTGATCATTTATTCCAGAAACACACTGTATAATAAAATCGATGCATAATCTATTAAAAATCCTGAATTAACCGGAAATTAGATTTCAGAGTGAAAAATGGCTAATTTCTTGAAATTTCCATAATATAACATAAAATATACTTACTTTTGGTTACTCTTTCAACCAAAATAAATATTTCCTTATTGCCGCTTGCAGGACTAACCACGTGATCCAAACGAACTATTTTCAAATCGCCCGTCAAGGCGCTTTCTAAATAACAAAAACAGATTATTATCAAGTATAAGAAAAGTCAATAGTAATCGAAAAAGCGGTATTATTAAGGTAAAACTCTAATTAAAATTAAAATAATTCCGAAAACAACACCATTGAGTGGGAGCTACATGGACTTAGAAAGCTTTGGAAAGAAAATAAAATATTTATCTACTTACTCAAATTATTGATGCCGTGTGAATATATCGGATCGCAAATAGGAAATAAAATACCATTTTCTTTAATAAAAGCATCAAATCTTAGACAAACAATGTTCAAATTAATGGATTTACTTTCTGATTCAGCCAATCCCTTAATCTGAAATGGACGAAAGAAAAAAAAATAAAACCCGTTTAGATATCTCCCGGTAAATTCTCGTCGAAGAGATATCCACACGAATTTCCAATAAACTTTATCTTCTGATGGCAAAGAGAAAAAAAATCATACCCTCACGCTGGCACGGACAATTGTTCGGATGAACCGTCATTGCAACTGTAAAAATTTAATTTTGCGTGTAAATGATTAAAAAATTATCAAAAATTTATAGATAAATTAAGTTATGTTATTACATAATTCGTATCGGAACTTGGCAAAAAATGATGTTATTTACATTGTATCTACAGATATAAAATGATAACATAAATAAAACGAATTTCCAAGAAAATTGGAGAGAATTTGTTCTAAATCATTTGAAAGTGAAAAAAATACATGTTTCGTAAGAGGATAATAAGGCAAATAATAATAATAGGAATGTGCATACTGTGCACTATCGTAGGACAAATTATTTATCATAAAAACATTTTTTTAGATGTATATTTTTTGGTATTTTGAAAAATAAAAATAAAAAACTACTTTATGAAAAACACTAAACCAATTCTACAATTTAAAAAATATAAAGACTTACAATATTTCAAACAAATGTTCGACCTTTCTTGGAATATTTCCAACCACTCTCTACCGAATATCAACACTTTATGGATCTTTTAAAGCTCTTAAAAAATCTGTAAGCAATCCACACCTAATTTACGACGAAACCCATAACATTCAGATATATTTTACAACACTTTACTCCAACTTTGTATAAAGAAAATAAACCATAAAGAAAGAAAGAGTAGTGGAAAGAGAAAATGTGCCCATAAGCACTTAAGGTATCAATGATTTTTTCTATCGTCAGCAAAGAGCAAGTTGCAGTGAATTGATAGCAGGAACAGGAAACGCAATTTTGATAAATTATCAATAGAATATATACTAAAGTTCGCTCCAAAAATTGAAATGTCTAAAATAACTATAGAAAAGGCTATATTACCAACTTTATTAAAAAAGGGAAACATTTAGTTGACCTTGATCATACAAATTAGATAAATTATTTATAAGTCACGGCCCACGGGCATTATCAAATTATTCATTTCTAAACATTTATCAATATCTGCAACTTTGTAACATGCAAATTAGTCATACAAAGTAATAAACTACAAAGGATTTAATTAAAAATAGTTAAATTACCGCACGGTTACATACTAAATAATTATATCATGATCACATCTACGAGCCTTATCTGATGGCGCCAATGATAATAGCGAAAACCAATTCGTTTTATCTACTACAAAATACCAAATACAAAATACCGGGATGACTCACACTTAGTTTATAAAAAATATAATTTGAGCCTACAATAATTGCTATCAGGAAAAATAATAAATATTGTCAATGTACGCATTTTCAAGAAATATTTACCATCAAAATATTTTCAGTCTAGAAAATTCTTGACACAAACTCACGGACTTGAAGTAGGTAACAAAACAAATTCGCAAAACACGAACACATGCAGAGTAATAAAATTGAACTATCGAATATCACAGAACGATAAGCGCAGAACCACAGAGACGCATTCGAGAAAAGATAAGCGATTTGAATGATGAATGGTGATATGATTGTGATTTGTTGAAAACCGAAAAGGCTCAAAACAGATTTTATACTGCTAGTGACATCTCGTGTTTTTTTGAACCAACTTATAATCATTTTTTTCCAAGTTCATTAATCTAATTAGGAAATAATTATCGATTAATAAACTAGTTAATTTTGAACGCCATTTTGTGAATATACTTGTTTTTCTCTTTGCCCCATTTTTACAGATAAAATTCAATACTATACTAAATACAGGGCGATTCAACGATATTTAATTCAAAAAATAATCAAAATAAGTAATTTTATTTATTGTTGTATTGTTGAAATAATAAGTTCTACAATTTTAGGTGTTTTAACAATTTTCTTAAACATTGAAGTTATTTTGATTATTTATAAAGTAATATTTTTTTTTAAATAAAAAACAAATTAACTTATTTTTTGTCAATTCGTTGGATCACCTTGTAATAATTTATAAAGGTACAGGGCGTCTCAAAAAATCGGTAACAAATTGAACTTGCCAACTATGTTTATGGAGATTAACACAGATTTTGGAAACATAGTCTCATATGAAGGAAAAAGGAAGAGTGATAATGTGAGATTGCAACTTTCTCACTCTAACCAACCTTTCCTTGTTTAGCTCACAGAATTGACCCTATTGCAAGCACATTTGCACTTACTTATACATACAGATTGCTCCATTGTTCGTTGCAACATAGGCTGTGGATGCAACAAAGACAACTTCAATTACACTTATAAATGAAAAAGAAAGAGTGATATTGTGTCATTGCAACATTTTACTCTGACAACTGTTATTTTAATAATCTTTCTTTGTTCAATTCATAGAAATACCCATGTTGCAATCGCGAATGAAGCATAATGTATATTTGTAATTACCTTTAAGTAAACATAACCTTATTACTTAACTTTTGAGACAGCCAATACCCAAAAAAACTAAGTTAATATTGGAATTTCATACTTTTTTCTTAAAATTCACCCAACAAACAGAATAATTTCTGTGCTTTTAAAGCAATTTCACCTGTCCAAAATTAATTTTGACCATTAAAACTATTTACATTCCACTATTAAGTAATACAAATTGTTGTTAGAAACAGTGAAACAGTTCTGAATATTGGGTGAAGTTGATAAATAAATTTTTGTGTATTAAATATTTAAAAAATAGCACTTACTTCGACCAGCTCTTTCGTAGATAATTCCCTCATTTTACATTCCGTTCGAGCAACTTGTTCCTTCTTCAGTTGGATTTTTTTCCTCGTCAATTCACTAACAAGATTCTTTTTAGCAGTGTGGATAATACCCATACCTTGGAACCTGTCGACAGATCATAACGTATGAGTAATGAGCAAATTTGTTCGCAATATGGTCAATTCTACGAGTCGAACAAAGAAAGATTATCACAATAACAGTGGTTAGAGTGAGAAAGTTTCTTTTTCCTTCATACGAAACTAATGGAAGTTGTCTTTGTCGCACCCATTGACCATATTGTATTACTTACACTGCTCGGTAATTGTCTTCGGGGCCAATGGATAAATCGTGCGGATCATCGTGTTCCTCTTTACCCTTCTTCATTATTAGTCTGTGAGCATGCGGATAGAAACCGCTTTTATCGATACCATCGATTTGGTATATCGAGCATCTTATAATCGCTCGAACTGGAAAGTTCTTCAATTCCACTGTAGGGTAAGTGGGTTTCCGGGACTTGTCCGAATGGTAACCGGTCAAACTACCATGGGTACCAGCCATTTCGGATTTGTACCGAAACCTGAACCGATCGGTCGGTTGCTCGATGAACCGCAGGAATGGCTCTACAAATTATTTAATCGTAAATCCAATATGTAAATGTATATCAATCTAGCTACTTACTATTTTTAGAATTACTCAGGTCCACCATGGTGGAATTTATCGAGAGCATCGGCTGTTCCTGCATTGTCTCATAATGCTCGTACTCGGGGTAACTGTTGGAGTTCGGTGAGGCTGACAGCAATCCCGAAGCGGGAGAATCCTCAGAACTGGAGGGCGGCGTTAGAGGGTACGAATTCATACCTGGAAAAACACGATAGCTCGAGAACATTTCAAACGACAATGCTCCTACTCGCGTCGAGTATTCGCGATAAAAAATTTACTTGATTCAAGTGGAAACGAGTATTGTTGGTGCAAAATCATCGCGTTCACTGCGATAGCGTAACGGATTTTATCGAAAACTTTTATGAAGTACTAATAAGACAAAAACTTATTCGATTCGCTCACCTCTACTTCTACGCTAAATGTGGATTGTTTTGTTCAACTGACACCTAAAAATCACTGGTGAGGCTGGTTTAGGTTATTCCCCATTCTCCAGTTGGATGACACACGAGCGGCGTGCGGGGTAAGGGGCAGGGTAGTAAAAATCCCCGTGATGATACAAGCGTCGCAGTTGCGCATATTCAGTAGTGAATTTGATTATCTGCGAAAAAAACCCGTATCTTATCAGGATGATGATATAAAATGCTTGTCGTTTTTAATTCGTTTAGTTTAATAAAGGATTTTGTTAAATTCCGCCTTTATGGATTCTTCTTCTTTACGTCAACTTTGAAATGCAGTAAAGCGGATTGAGGACTCTGTCTATTACGTACTACAGTTAATTGATGTAATGTTGGTTGCCTACTTGCAGGAACTTCACGTTGAATACTTCATTTTGAACGATTTATTAAAAAACTTTTCAAAATGCAAAAAACTGCTTACTGTATTTACAGTATTTGCACTCTATAAATTATTCACTTAAATTATTCCAGGTATACACAAATTCTTCCTATTTTCTAAGACTTTGGAACTTGTTATGGAAATTATACGATTGTAGCAAAGCGTACAGAAATTAATTAATCGTGTTAACAAGCCTTATAATTGATTCAAAATTTCACAAGATAATTATTACTCCTATTTTTTATACGTATACTGAGAAAAAAGAGTTTTTCCGCCGAAAACAATTGGATTTTGCGAAATTCAATTACCTACATACCTTATACAAATACGTAATTATCGATTCAAAAAAACTGAATCATTTTTTCTTAATTATTCCCTGCAACTTTCTTATTCGTTCTTGTAAAAATATCACGTTGAAAGTTGTCTGAAAATCAAGTTTTCCAAACGACAATCTTATCGTACAAATTAACCGAAAAAAGAAAGTACTTACAAATTGTAAAAATAAGTTCGAAAACAAACAATCTAACCGAATCCCACGAAAAAGAAAACATGTGTTTACGCGCATTATCGAATTTCAACGGAGAATTAAAAGCAAACGTGCGTAATTTTTACGTTCATTAATCGACGAATTGCAAGTGAAAGGCTTTGAAAACCTATTACACTTTATATTACACTCACCTAAATCTACAGAAATCAATTTGATATATAACTAAATATCTAAAGCTTATTTAGGTACAATACGCGATTATAAGTTAGCTTAATCTTCGAACGTTTCTCTATGTTTAGTTTGTGTAATCAGTACAAATTATTGTATATCTTTCTGTCGAAGATAAAGTTATATTCCGGAATTGTATTTGTACTAGCATTGTAATATGATAATATAGGGTGTAAGTACCTAAGTAATAAGTAGTTTGTTCAGTGCGTTTTAGTGAGTGACTTGATTGGTTCAGAGAAATATGGATAGACTGGAAGTTCCTAATGAAGAAAGTATATTATTAAAGGGTAAGAATTTATTTTAACAAATATATGTATTCGCTAATTGTATTGCTTGCAATTTATGTAGATAATATTTACTACGATTTTTTTACTATATTATGCTCATCTATGTGGTTTTTACTTTTAATAAGTAGTGATATTTTGGGATTCATAAAATTTAATATTTCTCAAGACTTTGATGAGTTTACGTACCAGCAATAAAACGTGTCCTTGTTTAGTTTAATAATTAACCTTTATGAAGTTAGTAAAAAAATAATTGCAAGGCTTTAAGGACTTTTTGGAGCTTTTGAGATCTATAAAAATATCAAAATTATTGTAATAAACAAAGCAATTAGTACAAATCGCCAGGCAATTTTTATCAGACAAACAAATGTGAGTTCAAAATGTCACAATCTGGCTCCAAAGCTGACCCATTCCGAAAAAAGGAAACTTCGACTTTGGATCGAGATTACCAATAAGCGACAAAGCGGAATATTCGAATTAATCGAAGCTACACAAAGTGAACAGAACATCACTTATTGTAATTTTATCAGTACTAATCAGTATTTCCTGCACATCGCGTATAATTCCTTTGTGAAAATGTACAATGTAAAACATTGGCTTATTCCTCAGCGGTAGTAGGTAGTTTAGTGAAGAACATTACGGTGAGTCGTAAAAATTTAATTGGGCATAAATTATTCAATCGCGATTTATAGGTAAAATGTCCAAGTTGTTAACAGTAATTTGCCCATCAATCATTCGATAAGGCGCAATTAAATTTCAATGAAAAAATAAAAGTTCAATATACAAGCGAATTAATTAGTTGCAGGATTAGTTGGAGATAATCGAGCGCGTTATTAGTGCAATTTTTTGACCCCCGTTGTATAAACCATAAACGCAAATTCTGTAAACATCGAAAAGCCCCATTATCCAAAAATATAGTACACAAAAATTTTACGTATAGTGTCAATAAAAGTTGGTTTAAAATGATTACATAATTTTATCGATTATAGGCTATAATTAATGCTAATGTTATCGGTAATCTTCGTTTTAACTATCAATTTTCATTAACGTTAATAATCTCCAGTAAATTCAATATGAACATATTTAACCACACGTAAGTGTGATAATGTATTACAGGCAAAGCAATTTTACTGAGTTAAGTTGTAATGAGATCAAAATGACCCCCTTTAAATTGACTATCTACTCTAACTAATTCAATTATAGTGGACATTTTTACTTCATATCTTGTATATAAAGTGAAAATTACCAAAAAAAAATTTATCACTATGCTCCTCCATTATCAAATATCGAAACTTCTGCTGTGAAACGTCGCGTATGATAACGTTTCGCACATATCGCGAGATTTAAAATTAAATTTATTTATAAACCCATTATGATAATAAATATTCGCATAATAGTAGGGACACTTTGATATTTAAATTCCCTTTGACTGAAGAATTACACTATGTAAAATGGTCTTTTGAGTGCCTATACATTCATAATGGTCTATCCCTTTAGATCCTTTTTCAGGTCGGTAAAAACATTTAACGAAATTATACCTTCTTCTTTACAAATGGCCGCCTTTGATAAACGAAAATTATTTTGAACTTTCTGACCCTCATACTTCCATTTATCAAGACCGCAGATAAGAGGTTATTAGTTCGGTGTTTGTTTTTACACACTAAATTGAAGTACTTAACAACCGGAAGGGTAATTAGTAACAAGGATAAATAGTAACTACGTGCCAATCGAATCTCCGCATCTTCATTTGATTGACACTGACGTTTGACATTTGGCATTTGAATATTTCACTTTGTATAAGATTCACGCAATTTTCCACAAATCAATCGATCGAAATAACGCACCGTATGCGAGATGGATTTTTAAAAAGTGCCCCCCTTTCTTTCCGCCCCCAAACGGACGGACGCTCTCTCGACGCAGCGCCGTATAAATAAAATCATATTCGCGAAAGAATAATCGCTTACTTCGCGTTCCGTGTCCGCCGAATCCTCGACCCACCGCCGGCATACAGTTTATAACTAATTCATTCGAATTCGAGCGAAAAAGTACCGCAGAAGAGGGAAGTGAAAATTGACCCATTCGAGTACAGAATCACGCAATAAGTAAACCAGAAGTCCGATCCAGGGTATTTGATAAATGATTTGTGGACGATTTTGCTGATTATAAAAGTGAGTTTGTTGGCTGTTTTATAAGGGAGCAATGTAATTTTTAAAACCATTTATAACATCAAAAATGATGAACAGTCGATCATTAATCACCTTAATCAGTACATCAGTTGTTTATGCAATTATCTAATTTGATAAATTACCTATCATTTTTTATCATCATTTTTTATGAAAGCAATTAGAAGTTTTGAATTTACGAGTAATAAGTATCATTTTAAGTGAGTAATTAAAAGCTTCGATTAATTAAGTATCGACTTTCGACCAAGTGCGCAATTGAAGCCTTCTTCTAATTAATTAGGCAAATAAAATCCGTGTGCATAAAGCATTTACTTAAATGCACCTCGTGTTTGTATATGACCATATAATTCATGTCACATTGCAGAAGCCAAAAAAAATCCCTACGGCGTATTCGTTTAGTAATATCTTCGTGACGTGATGAGTTCGTTTCGTAAACAAGGGAAAACCTTATGCGCTAAACGAAATTTTGTAATTAGGGGAAAAACCTAAAAAACACCAAATTAAATATTCGACATTCGTCCTTAATAACTCTCGTCTCGTTGGCGAATCTTTAACTACCGCTTTAAATATTCCAAACCGGTTTCGCGATGCAAATTATAGGAAAACCATAATTATTATGAAGTAATATTCTTAAAATCACTTAATAACTGGCTAATGAAGTGGATTATTAAACAACATTACTATTGCTCGTTTTTTTCAATCGCTCGTCAATTAATCCCAACATCCTCTATTATTTCAGTGCAAAATGGCAAGGATCAAACGCCCAACGAGCAATCATCCGATGAAAACGGCGAGAACAAGGAGGAATCGGTGGATATCATACAAAAATGCATAGGCGTTTTGGGCAAGTGGCACTTGTGGATATGCTTCATCATATTTCTAGTCAAATTCGGCGTGTCCTGGCACCAACTTAGCATAGTATTCTTGGCGCCGCCGGTGGACTATTGGTGTGTTAATAACGCCACCGATAAATGCTCGCCCGAATGCACCAATTTCGTTTATGACACGTAAGTTATTTATCTATCAATAGATACTCACACATACAAGGTGGCCCAGAACTCACGCCCCACCGGTAAATGCCTTCTGGAAACGAGAATGGAGATGCCAAAACTGCAGTCGAAAACATGAAAAAGTTTTTCCTTTGGTAAATAAAGAGGTTTAAAATTGACCAATCCCAGTAGGAATTCAAATCCACGAAAATGACGTAAATTATCCATACGCCAATTTGACATTATTAAAAGATTCTATTTCCTTTTCAATTTCAAGATCAAAGATTTGCTTTAAAATCGATCAAAAAATGGATCATTCGATTCGAACCACTTTTGAAGCAATAACAAATTCTGTAGGTTTGGTATCAGCTGAATGATCGATTTGGCAGTTCTGGGCCACCCTGTATAAACTTATTGTAGCATTAAACATTGCAGATAATAAGTTTCTGCTAGTTGGAATTTTTCAATGCACAACGTCTAAATATAATTATTGGAAAAGCTTATCTTCAGCAAAGCTTTAGTATGATTCTCCATTATTTTACTATTTTCGTTAACTACATGTTTTTAATTCCTCTTCTCTCCTGATAGTGTAATTGTTTAAAGTATTTTATTCCATTCATTTGATATAAGTAATTTATTTACCTGCTAAATTTCTTTTTAATCTAACAGGTATCATCCAACATGTTATGAATTGTTTATTATTACAAGCTAATTATTTTATCTTACATCACAATAATATTCAGTTATGATAGGAAATCGAAGTATTGATAAATTATGTAATGTTAGATAGTTTTCCCGTTAGAAATATTTTATGTTTAACTCAAATACTTCTGGGTACTTCAATTAATAGAATCCAAAGGATTATACTTCTTTTTACTTATATGCAAACAATATAAATTATATTATGTATATTTTGTTCTCTTATTTCGCTCGTTATGATGAAAGAATGTTTTATTATTGCACAAGAACAAGATACACAACATCGACCGCCGTAACCTAAGTGGATTTGTTTAAGAAACCCGAAATAAAATCGATATAAAATGTATTTCTTGATTAAAAATCCTATTTACAGGTCCGTATTCGCCAGTACGATCGTCACGGAATGGAATCTAACATGTTCCAAATCGTATTTGGTCAATTTAACGCAAACCATCACTATGCTGGGAATTCTCTTCGGAAGCGTCTTGTTCGGTTATCTATCTGATAAGTAAGTGAATATTTGTTAGAAATACAATAGAAATTAAATGTAAAATGTAGAAAAACTATCTTACAATTAGTTATTTTTGGTGATTTATATAATTCTTCTGGAGATCTCTTTAGAACTACTTGTATTTAATTAGGTATTACATATACTTTCCTCTTTCCTGATTACCTGCTAGCTTATTAAATTAACTTGCAATAACATCTAACAAGTTGTTACGTTTGCTATGCACCTACAAAATAATCATTATTAGTTACCTCAAATCGGTTTATGTAACACGAATCTAATCACTAACATTACATTTCTAACACCTATACAGATTATAACGAGGAAAGCGTAACAATTATTACAGTTTGTTGGTACCATTATTAGGTACGGAAGAAAAAATCCACTGGTACTCGCCGTGACATTGCAAGGACTCTCCGGCTTAGGCGCAGCTTTCTCTCCTTGGTTCTCGCTGTTCATGGTCATGAAATTTCTATCGGCAGTCGCCACCGGCGGTACCATGATAACCAGCTTCGTACTCATCATGGAAATCGTCGGTAAGTTCTCCTTTTCCAACAGCCTTCAATCATCTTCTAATTATCCCAATGTAATAATAACCTCTAATTGTGTGTCACAGGTACCGAATGGAGAACCGTGCTGGGCATCCTCTACCAAATCCCCTTCAACGTCGGCCACCTGCTGATGCCCCTGATCAGCTACTACTTCCGCAGCTGGCGCCACTTCCAGATCATCATATCGGCGCCGGCCTTGGCGCTCATCACCTACTACTGGCTGCTGCCGGAGTCGCCGCGCTGGCAGCTGGCCGTCGGCGAGAAGGCGGCGGCCGTCGCGACGCTGACCAAAGCGGCGAAGCGCAACGGGCTGCCCACCGAGACCGTCGCCGGCGACGTGGAGGCGTACGTGACCGGCAGGGGGGCGGCCGGCGCGGCCGCGCAGAAGGGCAACATCGTCGATTTGTTCAGGACGCCCATCATGCGGAAGTACACGCTGGTGCTCGGCTTCGATTGGTTCGTATGCGGGCTGTGTTTCTTCGGAGTGTCCCAATTCGTCGGGCAGTTAGGGGGGAATATATTCGTGAACGTGGCCATCTCGGCTGTTATACAGATACCCAGCACGCTGTTCGCTTGCTACGCCACCAAGGCCTGGGGCAGGAAGAAGACCATGTGGGCCTCGAACCTATTGAGCGCAGCTGCTCTTTTAATAATGGGTAAATGATTGATAAAACAGGTTCTAGTACAGGGTGGTCGGATAAGAATGTAGAGGACTGTATCTGGGAAACTATGCTTCGTAGAGGATTACGGTAAAAAAAGTTATTACTAAAACCCAAGAGGAAAACCTGGAAAATAGTTTCTCTGAAAATTTTCTTTGCCGTAAATTTTAGGTTAAGAACAAGATATCGAGATGCGGTTTAGACGCGAGCTTGTTTAGACGTCATTTAGATACTTATTCATGAAAAATAAATCATACCAATGCATTTAATTTTTTGAGAAAATTGACTATTTCTGTCGGAATGTCGAAAAAAACGCTATACTAGCGACACGTGAATCTAACAAAACTTTAAATAATATAACTTTTGTAGCACAAGAATAGCTCTTTGCAACTAGCCCAAGTTTGTTTAAATCGGCTCAGCCGTTTCGAAGATACAGGATATTTTTTAGTGAAACACTCACCACTTTATTTTTAGAGATACAGCAAAAATTATTAAACAAAAAAGGTTCATATTATACTCGACTTTAAAGATCTGGTATTTTTTTGTTAGATTAATATGGTGGAATTCATAGAAATATCACTTTTTTAATTTCAAGATTGCATTTACACCCCCTAGCGGCCATTTGAGAAACAAGTTTTTCTCTCGGCCGTTTTAGTAATAACTTTTTTAACCGCAATCCTCTACGATGCATAGTTTCCCAGATACAGTACTTAACATCCTTATCCGACCACCTTGTATACACATCTCTAAATAATCTAACTATTTACAGGCTTCGTACCGAACGATCCGGCTTGGATAAAAACGGTCCTCTCCTCCATCGGCATGTTCGGCATGGCCCTGGCCTTCCCGAACGTCTACATCTACTCCGGGGAGCTCTTCCCCACGGTGGTGCGCAACGTGGGCGTCGGGTTCTCGTCGATGTGCGCCCGCGTCGGGTCCATGATAGCGCCGTTCGTCGCCGCGACGAGCGCCTACGGCGACTGGGCGCCGCCCGTCATATTCGGCGCCGTGGCGCTGGCGGGGGCGGCGCTGTCGGTGAAGCTGCCCGAGACGCTCGACTGCAAGCTGCCCGACACCATCGAGGAGGCGGAGGCGTTCGAGGTGAGGCTGAAGATGAAGGGCAAGATGCCCGATGTGGCTTGGAAGAAACGGGGAAGCATCTTCGAGGAAAAGGAAGAGCAGGCGTGAGGTGAGGTGGATGAGTTGAGAGATACGGCGTAGTTATAGGTTTAATTGATTTTAATGAATTGATGACGATTGTACGTTTCGACAAGAAGTGTTTTAGCTATCTAATTGTTAGTGTTTATCATATATTATATTTTTGTAAATATTTTTGGGTATTTATTATTTAATTATTAGCAGAAAAGCGCAGTGGGGCGTAGTGGAAAGGAAGGTAAAATAAGTGGAATTGGCCGGATCTCAAAAAACTCTCGCAATTATATTAACAATTTTGAGCTAGTCTTAATAAGTCTTTTGAGTCTTTTGAGCTAGTCTTAATGACCATTAGGTTTGTTCTAGCAGCATGTTCAAATTATGTTTGTATCAGTATTTTGTATTGCACATGCCCTGATGTATACAAGTTCGTTATAAGATTGGAACAATTCTTGCTGGAACACCTCGAGCAGTTATTGAGTATCTTGTAATACAGAAATGTTCTTTGAATTCATTTTCCGAATATTGAGTAACGGTTTCCTCGATATAATTTTTATTTTTTGGCCTCTGCCTTTCTTCCATCAATTCTTCAAAATCGTCTTCCGATAATTCATCATAACTAATCATAACTACTTTCGCCCATAGCTCCAAATAAGTCAATAATTTCCATATTTCAAAACTAAATTGTAACTAAACAAATATTTATGACCAACAACAAACTAGTATAACCATACTTATTTTCGAATTGTTCTAAATGTTCTCACTTCAAACAAGAACAGTTTGGCAGATCTCAAACATGATCTAAGCAAAAAACGAATTCTGCCGGAACAGCAAACATTTACTCAGAACACCAAATAACACGCTGATAGAACAAACTTATTATACATAATAAAATTAATACGATATTAAAATATGGAATAGGTAGGTACTATCACAATTTTTTAAACAATAGATACACACTACTAAATATAATAGTACTAAAAACCTTCTAGAATTGTTTTGTCTCCTCGAACCAATTCTTTATCTTTCACCAACGGAACAATATCTTTTCCTCCACCATTGTAACATAATTGACCGCTGATGGAAAATAACGTAACTCTAAAAACAAAAAATTTGCAGCACACATGTAATAATTTTCGTTTTTTTTTACCTCGACTTCAAACTACTCGTACTCTTCCCATCGCTGCTCAATGTCACTCCTCTACAAGCCATCAACAGCGACGCTACTCCGTAAATCCCGATGAATATCATAGCGGAAACATCCGCGATGGCGTCGAAATAACCCTCGGTATTGTACCTGTGCATCCAGTGGATGAAGTAGAAGGTTATGTAAACGACCATGCTCAGCATATACACCACCATCGCCTTGGTTATTTGCTTGGTGCTCAGGATTAAAAACACTTGAGGCGCGATAGCCACTGACTCCAGGTACTCGCTGAATGCCTTAAGGATCTGGAAAATAATCGTTAAAAAGTTAAATTTTCACCTTTTAAATTACGTATTTACCTCGGTACTTTGGCTTGTAGGCGCATTGAAAATGGCAGCTACCATAGCTCCGAATATCAGTAGTTCGCTTTTGTATGTATCTTTCTTGTCGATGTCGTTCCACCAGTAACCCATTAGGAATGTAACAGAAGTTGTGATGATGAATAGTATTCCAGTTACAATATAATAATTCGATAAGTACTGGAAATTTAAGTATAAGTCTACGTATCTCGTGATGAAGACCATGGAAAGTAGCAGCTGAGTCCGCTGCGAGACGCCTGGAAAATTTAAATAAATTAGTTGGATTCAATTCGGTAATTGATTATTTGTGCAATCGTAAAAATTAATAGCAAAGATAAAAAACTAAATGTTAATTACCGATACGGTTTAATTTGATTGGGAACATTTTTATGGAATGATTTTTTTGCCTTTACAGCTAGAAATATTTTATAAATTGATACACTAATTCAGGTATTGTAGCCAATAGGTAGGTTTATACCAAATCAATATCTTACCTGCGTATGAATTTCTTAAAATAATAGAAACTGGTAGAAAAAGTAAAGCGAAAGCGAGCCATGAATCGCCAGCAATCCTAAAGGAGATCATCATCATTTACACGCTAAATTTTCTCGTCCCCTTGGAAAATTCTCCCGGCTCGCCGACTGAAATTTATTGCGATGCGATCGAATGGAGATACCGCGAGTTTACTAAAATTGAAATACAATTTACTCGGTTAACTCGACCACTCGACGAACACACGGGATTTCCACGTTGAACTTGTTTATAACTAAAATTAACCTCGGTAAGCTTTTGATGTATTATAGTTTTAGGGATATACGAAAAAAATGGCAAAACTTGATAAGGATAATAAATAGAGTGTTGTACTGTAGAAGTTTGTTTAACAATGGGTCATCTGATCTTTGCACTTAAAGTAGGTTTTCACATCAATAAATGTTGCGAAATGTGCAAGGAGCATCAGAATATAATCAGAATTTAGCTAGAATGGAACTACAAATTTAACCTATGGATGAGTACCTAGTAGTCTTGTTTGAATGGAGTATGGAGTTTAAATTTTTTGGAATCAAAATTTAGCCAGTGGAGTATTTAGAATTTGTTTATTTTTTTGCGATTTTAGTGAATACCTCCGTCACTTTGATAATGAATTTAAAACGCGAAGACAATCTCCGAGAAGAATAGTAAAATATTTCGTCCTTGACACTCGGGCAGGTATAACAACTAAAATAGCATGCTTGAAAATTTGCGTATGGAACGCACATTCCTTGTAATAATAATACTCTTTGTACACACTAAAATTAGAAAGAACATTGCGATAATTTGTGATAAAATTGCGGAATTGCAATGCTTCGTCAGCGTTTATCCGGAAATTACCGCAATTGCAGTGTTTATCTAAAAGTGACACTATTTTTATGCTAAAAGTGGTTTTGTTTACTTTAATATCTACATTCAAAGTATTATAATAAATGAAAATATTAAAAAAAATAGCTTATTTATCAATATTTCTATTGTTAGAATAATGTAATTAGTCCTGTAGACTCCTTTTATACTTCCTACCAAGGTAGGCAACTAACTTATCAAAACTCGATTAAACTTCGTAAATCGACCCACAGATGGCGCACCGGCGTTTTGATCACGCATCGCCGACAAACCCGTAGGTATACCTATCATATGGTATGAACGACGTTGGAAAGGTATCGCTTCTCGGCCTCTGGCTAAGATCAAAGTGTAGTATCTGTTCTTATCAGCTTAATATCTGATACGCTCCGCATGCGGAGCCAGTATATTAAACTGATTTTTGGAAATTGATGGGAGGTTAGGGGCTTGCTCCACTCCCGTCGCGGGTTGGCCCGGCATTGCAGTACAGCCGGGATCGGCCCATCTTTTAATAATCAAAACATAATTCATCACATAAAAAAAGTTATTCGATTAACTAAGAATTATTGCATGTTGCTAATGCTTAGATTTTTTTTATGTTAAATGACATGTGAATCTGAGTCTAACTTCACAATGTTGTAATTGTGACTTGAGACAATTAGTTAATTTATCAACCATCTCGATAAATAGATTTACCGCAAAATCCCATTAATCTAAACATATTTTATCACAAAAAAGAACTGTAATTTAAATTTCACAATTTTTTTGTGCATGTTGTTAGGTCTCTTGACGGTTCACGTTGACTTGACATGTGACTTATGGCAAACTTCACACTGTGTTAAATGTGATAATTAGTTAATTTATCAGCCATCTCGATGCTAAATAGAAGCAAACCTCGTTGTAAAAAAATAATTTACTAATGTTTAATAATTTACTATACACTGGAATATTTTGAACAACATACATCACATACATCGACCTAAAATATTCTATTATATGAGATCTAAGCGGAATAAATATTTCATAATAAACGCATTGCACGTTATAAAATGCATTATTCTAATGCACCTTCAATAACAAAGCCTTCAACAGAAGCGCCCCGCTTTCCTTGGTACTCCACTCGACTATGTCGCTGTCCCTGGATATCGAATAAGCGCCCGGTTTAACCGATAACTGAAAAGCCGCGTTCACCTCCCGGTTATTATCAATTTTATGACCCTTCTCGAGAGAAAATTGCAATGACGGGTAAAACACGATTTGAACGTCGTCGGATTTTCTAGCAGTAAAATTGCACCATTTCAATTGTCCTAAAAATGGAGTATTTATAAAGAGTGTAGAGCAGTTTGCACCCCACTTTTGCCATAATTAATTACTTACCTTTAGTTAAAGGTTGCCCTTTATCTAAAATACACCGCACAGCTCCCACTTTGCAAGGATAGAAAGCCGTATGCCATTTATCTGTGGTCATATTCTCCGAAATGCACAGAGGAAATTTCACCCAACCTAAAATAATCAAATTTAGAGAATTTTTAGGATATTTAGTGAGAAGGAATTACCGATAACATTTTCCTTTTCGTCCACATTTCTCGTCCTAAAACAATACTGACAGTAGCACGTCGGGTCATCCGAAGTAAAATAAGAATCTAAAAAAAACAAGGATATACAGGTTGTTAATTGAGTGTCAATACTTCAGGATGTGAATATTTTGATGATTTTAAGAAGAAAAGTTTATATCCATATTTGTCCCAAACCTCTAGTTTTCGGGCTACTGGGTGTTACAATTTTAGAAAAAAATAACTTTTCTATCATAATTTTCTTATTACTACGGATCTTTTTATGAAATTTTATAAACATTTTTTAATTATTAGGTAGCATTTTTTGAGACAAAAGATTTTTTAAAATGTTTACCAATGACGTCCGCACGGGGTTTGAACTGAATATGTTTGAAAAAAATAAGGCCACTGCTTTTTCTAAAAACCAAAATTATTTTTAAAATTCTCATTTATTTTGTAGCAAAAAAAATAAAAACCAGAATAGTTTTTCATCAAGTTCATTGAGAGTGCTTTTGATATTTTGTTAAAATTTGGTAGGCGCCCACCATACATGGAAACACTTTTTTTTGGGAAAAAAAATTAATTTTCAACTATTACCAGTGACGTCCGCTTCCGAAATTTCATAAAACATCTGGAGTAATAAGAGAATTATGATAGAAAAGTAATTTTTTCCCTAAAACTGTAACCATCTACAGCTCGAAAACCAAGAGGTTTAGGACACATATTGATATAAACTTTTCTTCCTAAAATCATCCAAATATTTACATCCTGAAGTATCGGCACTCAATTAATTAACCCCCTGTAAAAAATACAGTTGAATCGGTATAATTTCTAAATAAATACCAGGCAATAAAATTTTCTTCTTGAACCTCTCAACCTCCTCCTTGTACTGGCAAGATTTCATCGGCGAATTCGCGCGCGAGCTCTTCGTCAAAGACGAACCGGCCAGACCTGAACTAGCCGAAGCGATGGGCAGGCTCAATTTCGAATCGGTTCGCTCCTTTTCGCACGTTTCCAAATCCGCCTTCTCGCAATCGCCAGCCTTTTTACCCGCCACCTGCTCCTCCAGCGCCGGATTGTTCAGGATTTTTATCTGGAAATCGCAATTTTAACTAATAGCTGATGATATTTCCAACGTTACTCACCTGCTGGCATTGCCCGTAGAGATCAAACACCGCGTACACGGGCTGCCCGTTGGTGAAATTCAACGTTAACGGTTCTTCTTCGACGTCGTTAACCGACAATCGAAAGCATTTCGATTCGGTGTATTTGATTTCCACGCGATCGCCTACGGTCAAACTGTCCAATCTCTGGCCGTAGTTCGACGAAGACTGCAAGATACAAGAATTCATTTATGAAGCACTGGTGTTTAGAAAACCTCACCTTAATACCGTTTAGGGCTATCCAATCGTTGGCTACTATGCAACTGGGCGCTTTCAAAGCCAACGCATTAACAGGTAGATTCAACCTTTCGGGTATCCCCGATATCACGCCGACGATAAGCGATGATTTCCATCGCGTTTCTAATTCTTCTATCAACACTTCAACCTGAAATATTACAAGTTACACTCGATTGAAATCTGATTTTGTTGCACGTACTTTTGAACCGGGTTCTAAAGGTTTTTGCACAATGGTAATACCCTGATTGTACGAAGCCACCTTACGAGCGGTCGTCCTGTTATTAATCAATTCTATGTTTCTACCGTGGTTTTCGTGAAATTCGTAAATAACCGGCGGTTGTACGATCTCCGGCAGCTGCTCTTTGTGTTCCAGCACCTCGGGAGTCGATTGCTCCTGGTCCAAAACCAATTCCAAACTATCCTGTAATCTAATCGTTCCTCGATAATTTCAACCACAAAATCTATCACTAACAAACCAACCTTATACTGTTTAAAGAAGACGCGTTGGCTTTGAAACTGACCACGCCGATTTCGCTACAAGCCCCGTGCAATAAGAACACTGCGTACAAGTTATCCGGCAAAGGAGGGAAAAATACCGGCAATTCTTCACCGTTGATGAAAACTTTCACGCTCCCTTCGCCGGTTTTGAGAAAACCGATTCGATCGTTGCAACTCAACCAATTCAAACTCGGAGTGAAAAACTGCAGTATCTAAAACAAAATTAAAGAATCTAGAAGTCGTTTGTCGGTAAATAACCAAGTGACATTTATTTTATGTCATATGCCAACTTAATAACGCAGAACTAGTGAAACAATTAACAAATACTATTCAACCACGACCGTATATTTCTAATGCCTAAGGTCTGGAAACTGTCTGGAAAAGGTCTATTATTTTGCATTAGAGGATGTGTCCCGTAAGTCCCGTTAAATGAAGTCTTTTTGAGCTTCACTTTTGCGCCGCACCGTGGCGAACGATCTGAGGATCAACTTATCTCAGCCAATCAGCGTCGCGCTACATATAAATCGCGGTTGTGAGACGACAGTTCAAGCTGTCAAAACTTAACAAAAACTATTTTTTGACATTTCGACGAGAAAATGGAGAAATACATTAACCGAAGATACGAGAGGCATGATGTTTACAACAAAATCGTCGACCTCTGTTTTCCAGACCTTAAAAATATAGCACCGTGCACGGAACTAGTGAAACAATTAACAAATACCGTTCAACTAAGATACTCCATAACTCATAAATACCTTCGACTGATACCTCAACTCGTTACCGCACAAATAGTAACAATTCGAAGGCATGTTGTTCGAACACAGTTCCGGCGCCACTTCCGTTACGCCCAGCGACAGACTACCCGCCATGTGTTTCGCAGTACTCATCACGGACACCTCGAACATTTCGTCCTGATGCAACGAGGTGGCCCCGTACACCACGGCGCTGCTAAAGTCCTTCGATCTGGTGGCCGTCCTGCCGCGTTCGTCCAGCACGATGCCTTTACCGTGGTACGCCGAGAACCGGTGCAGGTCCGATTCGATCGGCGGCTGGACGACGCTGGTCGCCTGCAGCGACGCCGACGTGTCCGATCGATGCGATATCTCTATACCTACGGCGTTTATTAAACGATAAATAGAGGTAGAGTAGAAGTAGTAAGAGGTAGAGTAGGGTAGAAGGTGGAATAGAGTATAGAGTGAGAGGTAAAGTAGGCTAGAAGAAAGGGCATAGAGGCAAAGGATGATAGAAGAGGTAGGAAGGGGTAGAGGATAGTAGGAGAAGGTAGGAAGGGGTAGAGCCTGGACTAAACTTATAGATGTTTTCTTGAATTGGCGATTATGAGAATTATTTTTAGTTTCTACGAATAAGCAGATGAATAGTGATTTTAAGTTCTATTTTATACCTAGGTACGCCGTCCAAGTTTTCTAAAAACGTTTGGACGACCTATGACCTATTCCTACACCTATTTAAAATACATATGGTTTAAATAAATGCTTGGGAAAGAATTTAAGCGGAGATCCCTAGTCATTTTTTTAATATAAAAGACATTATCTTTCGACAAGGAATAACCCATTAAATTCTTTCTCAACAATTTGTTTATACCCTGTACTTAAACAAACAAAACAAATAAAAAAGTAATCATTGGCAATGCGGCAACGTTGCGTTTAGTTCCTTCGAAATTGTAGATGTCGCTTTAAAATCTTAAAATTATGACATTGAATTATGCATCTATATTGTTTGGTCTATGGCGTAGAGGATGCTAGAACAAGGTAGAAGATGGTAGAAGAATGTAGAAAGATGTAGAGGATGGTAGAATGAGGTAGGAAGGGGTAGAGGATGGTAGAAGAAGGTAGGAAGAGGTATATAGAATGGTAGAATGTGGTAGGGTAGGATAGAAGGAGGTAGGAAGGGGTAGAGGATGGTAGAAGAAGGTAGGAAGAGGTATATAGAATGGTAGAATGTGGTAGGGTAGGATAGAAGGAGGTAGGAAGGGGTAGATGATGGTAGAAGGATTTAGTTAAGGAGTAGAGGAGGTTATGGAGGTGTGTAGATGAGGGTATATTACCTGTGGAAGCCAACGCGGCGACGGGCGAGGCGCACGGTATGCTGACCTGGGCGCATTGCCCGTACAAATCCACCACGGCGTAGATGTTGTTGTGCGGTACGATGCAGGCGACGCCCTGCGGTACGCCGTTCCGGTAGAACTCCAACAATTTATCGGCGGATCGCATGACGCCGATGCGGATGCCGGCCGACAGGGTATCGAGATCGAAGGCGTAGTTGCTCTTGATCGTTTTGCCGTTGATCATGACCGATGAGCCGCTCAGCATCCACGTGTCGCGACAGAGATCGGTCGCCGTGCTGGGCAGGTCGATTTCGTCGGGTCGTACCGACGTTACGCCTGCGTGGAAACGATGTTTAATACGTTTTATTAACGAATTTGTTTGTTTGTTTGTGTTTACCTAATTCGATGCTACCCGACCAACGGTCTACTATGTTGTCCAAGCACACTTCGAACATTTCTCCATCTCTTAGAGGTCGACTGGAGAATACTATGGCCTCGTTGAATTCGGCCAGTGGTCTCGGTCTGAGGGCCGTTAAACCGTTGCTCACTATGCGCGCGTTTTTACCGTGAACGTGATGGAACCTCAAATCGCTACACAAAATACAGCCATTAGTTACATATCGAGTAGTACCTCCGTTAGTCTCGTATAAAGGAAAAAGAAAGAGTAATATTGTGGAATTGCAACTTTCTCATTCCAACAACTGTTATTTTAATAATCCTTGTTCAACTCATAGAATTGACCTACCTATAAAGTGTTGTGTTGGAGAAACTCGAGTTTACTGTATCAGGAGAACCATTATCGTATATATCGATTATTGTAGCTTCTACTGCTTGCCCGTACAAATCTAAAACATAAGACGAATACAATTAAATTAAACAGGTTGCTACATTTTATACATTGCAACATAGGCTATGGGTGCACCAAAAACAACTTCAATTAGACACTTATAAAGGAAAAAGAAAGAGTGATATTGTGTCATTGCAACATTTCACTCTGACAACATTTTAATAATCTTTCTTTTAAAACAGATGGAACTGTTTATACTATTTCTAGTCATAATTCGACATGGCATAAAAAACGCCTAGCGCCGACTTCAAAGGTACCGGTGCACATGGACGTACCGTTTTTAGTATCAAAATTAAATAGATTAAAGTATTAATTGGGTAATATTTAATCTACTCACTTTGTCAGTGAAATTTTATGTCAAATAAATTTTATAAGTTAAAATTAATAATTTTAAAAACAAGTAAAGTTTAACCAAGGCTTTGAGAAATCGCGAAAAATTTTCAGACCGCGCGAGCCACTGATCTAAGACAAACAAACTGAAGAGCGAGATTAATTAGATGAATATTTGGTGATTTACGACCGCGAGCCAGCTGCCGGTCCGAAATCGCGTGATCGCACAGTTGTAGAATTAATATCAACTATTGGTGAGTTGATGTTTAAAACTTAAGTGGGCCACATCAGCGCGGCTGAGCGGCTATACCGGGGCGATTCGCGCTTATTGGCAACGCGAGAGTATGGAATTCGTAGCATTCTCGGCGCTTATAACGCGATTTATTTCGCGTCCCCGGTACAACGGTCCAAATCGGATTAATATTAGAATCACTATACATGGATGGAATGTGATATATACACAGAATTCTCATCGTAATACCCACCTATAACACCGTAAATTTTCTCCGAAACGTTGGACGCGGCGCATCCTTGATCAATTCCATTGACGAAAAAGTGCAACAGACCGTTTTCTTTCCTCAAAACGCCCACTCTATCGCCCACTTGCAATCTATCCAGATTAACACCGTATTGTTCCAGAACGATCGTCCCGTTGTGCATTATACCGCTGCCCGTCATCATCCACGTGCCCGATCTAACGTTGGTCATCGTGAAAGGGAAATCCAAATCGACCGGACTGTGCGTTGTAACACCTACGAAACCCATCTATGAAACCTCTAGGATAGAGTAAATGTAAAAATTTACCAATTTCTATGGAACCTGCCCACTTGGTGACCACCCTATCCAATCGAACCTCGAACAATTCGCCGGTTTTGAGCGGTCGCGCCGTTAATACGACGCCGTTGTTGAAATCGTCGGCGGCGTTGGGCCGATGGGCCGTCCTGTTGTTGTTGATAACCTCGGCGTGAGTGCCGCAATTCGGATGGAACGTGAGACGATCGTAGAAATCCGGCAGGGAATTCGGCTCGGGCAAGTGGATTTGTTGTTCTCTGGTGTTCTTACGGGTAATCAGGTTCTGTTCTTCGCGCTCGTCGCGCTCCACTATCGACACCTACAAAACATAATCGTCTGAGATAATCGAAGATTGTGTGGATAAACTCTCGTTTGGCTATGAAGTCATTTTTAGTAATTTCAACGCAGTTCAACATTTCCCTAGTGCCAATGTTATTTCTCCCATTTGACTAGGGGAATTTAACAACGCGTAGTTGAAAGTCCAAGGCGATGTTGTCATGCATTAGTCTCAAAATTTCGTGCTTTTTAATTGACAGCTGACACGCTTCAACTACAATTTGCTTGAATTTTGTTACAATTTTCATAGCGATTTTTTGAGGTCCATCTTTTATCGATAATAAAGTAACTTATAAGAGCAATGACGTGACGTCATTGCCTAACGAGATGGAATATGGTATAATTATTACTTTAATAGTCATCCCGTAGAGATCGATGACACCCCATACGGTGGCCGGTACTCTTTGAGCGGCGACGCCTTGGTCCAAACCGTTGATGAAATAATGTAGATTCCCGTCGGGTTTTCTCATCATTCCCACCCTATCGCCTTCGGTCAATTCGTCCAAATTGAAATCGCCATATTCCCTTCTCGTGCCTTTACCGTTAGTTAAAATACCACAACCCGACATCATGATGGTGCCGCTACGCATGTTCGTCATCGTCGCAGGAAATACGAGCGTGTTCGGATTGTGAGTCGTTATTCCCATCTGCAAAAATCACCAAATTCATCTAACTATTCGAAATAATCCACGACAAATACCTCTATACTACCGCTCCATTTATCCACTAATCTATCGATACGTATCTCGAACAATTCCGAATCTCTAAGCGGCCTGTTGGTCATTACGACGCCATTGTTGAATTCATCGAAAGGCCTGCGTCTTTCAGCGCTTCGGTTAACGTTCGATAGTTTCACGAGCGAACCGCACCTGTCGTGAAACCGGATCTTATCCTGTCGAGGAACTTCCTCGGGAAGACTTACGCTATAACAGAATAAACATTAGCTGCTCATTAAACCACTTAGAGTCCACACGTACCTAACGTTCATATCCATACGAATATCCAAGCTGTTGCTGCTGCTTATGCTGAGTTCGCTCAAATCTCCTCCGAGCGTTACGTTGAGAATATCGTTATCGATAGCTAAGACTGAGCTGCCGCTGAGGCAATCGTCGTTGTTGTGTTCTCGAAAAGCCGGGCTGACGATAGTTACCTGGACGCATTTACCGTACAAGTCCACTATGGCGTACACCACGCTCGGTAAATCCTCCGCGCCGACTCCTTGACATTCTCCGTTGATGTAGAACATTAGATCTCCCTGAAATTAACTCGATTAATCGGTGTTTATTGATTTGTTTGGAATAAGGTAGAGAAACATTACAAGCTACTAATGTAGTTAATAGTTGTTTTCGTTTCAAAGGGAGCAGCGATTCTAATTGTATACATATATAGCGTTAGAATCTACTTACTTCTGAAGTTCTCATTAAACCAATTCGATCATCTTGATTCAATCGATCTAAATCCATTCCGTAACCTTCCATCAAACATGCTCCATTTTTGAACACGGTTGTACCCGACATAATCTGATTAAAACGAAAAACAATTAATACATATTACAGTAAAGTATATATCATTATTTACCCATGATCCAGACTGTATCTTCGAAGCACAAGGTGGAAAATCAAAGTGTAAAGGATCACAATCGACAACACCGATCTCCAAACTTCCAGACCAACAATTCACCTGAAATACATCAAATAAGTACATCTAATTCAAATAGCACGAATTTATTTATTAATTCACCTTTTTATCGATTTTTATTTCGAAAAGAACGTCGTTCTGCAGGGGTTCGGCCGATATAACGAGACCGTGATCGAATTCGCTTTCATTTCGTATGGCAGTGCAATTATCGTTCGTTAGGGTGATCCTTTCACCGCATCGGTAATGAAAATAAGCCATCACCGGTAACGTTCCAACCGTTTATTTGCGAAAATGCATGGTTTGTTTATTTTTATTTTGCAGTATTTTTTTGAGCGAATTTGACATTTGACACTTGTAAAGTGAAATTATTTACTCTTCTTCTGTTTTATAGTAGTTTCCATAGTGAGGCTTCAGCCACATAAAGTTTGGCATCATCGCAAATTGGCTGTCATTTGATCGCATTGACAGTATTGACAGATTTACTGTTTGTTTATTTCTCTTGCGAAAAGTCAAATTTTTCTAACGACAACGACATGGGAAATTTGGTTTACTATTTTTTACCGACCGTTTTACTTTTAGCTTTAATTAGAAAATACCGCGAATCAAAATGGGGCAAATGCACGAACAACGTTCAATTAAACGGGAAAACTGCCATCGTAACCGGCGCTAATTCGGGTATAGGTTACGAAATTGCCAAGGAATTAGCAGCGAGGAAAGCACAAGTCATTCTAGCTTGCAGGACGTTGGATAAAGCTAAGCAAGCTTGCGTTAGCATTAAGACAGACCAAATAAACGCGACTCTTGTAAGTTATGTCAGCTAGGTGCGAAGTCACGCTCGTTTACACAAGTATTTTTGTAGATTCCGATGGAATTGGACTTGGGCTGTTTGAAATCGATCGAGAAATTCGCAGAGAACATCAAAAGCAAACACCACGAAATCCATTTGTTGATCAACAACGCAGGCGTGTCCTATCCGAACAATCGCCGTTTGGAGACATCTGACAATTTCGAAATCCACTTTGGGGTAAACTACCTGGGGCACTTCTTCCTGACGAATTTACTCCTCGACAATCTAGCCAAAGCTTCCAGCAAAACGGCCAAGAGCCGAGTGGTGGTGTTGGCCTCGTCCCTGCACGAACGAGGCAACATACGATTGGACGATCTCAACAGTATACAAACAGCTCACCAATCGAATTTGTACGCCAACTCCAAATTGGCCAACATTTATTTCGCTTCGGAATTTGCACAGAGGGCCAAAGATAGGAACGTCAACGTGTATGCTTGCTGTCCCGGTTGGGTGTATACCAATCTCTTTCGACATACGCTTAGTTGGTATCATTTCTTCTTAGTAGCACCGGTGGCTTTCTTCTTCATGAGGAGCGCTAAACAAGTAAGTATGATGAGAAAAATCAATACCAGAAATTTTTGACAGTTATAACTGACAACTGTCAAATTTTACCAGCTAACTGTCAAATTTGACATACACATCTTTTCAAACATACAATTTATTTATTATCTCATAGAGTTATGGTAATAGAGTGGTAATAATATTTTTAGGGTGCTCAAACGCCTTTATTTTGCGCCACAGAACCGGAGCTGGAAAACGAAAGTGGCCTCTTGTATAGAGATTGCAAGCACTACAATAGCAAGGTGATTTTCTACGATAACGTGTCGACTAAATTATGGATGGAGACCGAAAATATGATCAACAAAACGTCGAGGAAGTAACTCGTAGTCTAGATTTTGTTTTGTTTTATTACTAAATTTATTGTTTAATATATTGTTTGTTACAAATACGTGTGTCATTGAAAAGGGATGTCTAAAATACAGGTTGTCCCGTTTGGGGAAAGTACATCAAAGGTATCAAAATCGGATCTGATCTAATCTAATCTAACATTAATCCATTAAGCCTAATTGCTGTTTAAAGTGAGATTAACATGATCGGTATCCTTTGTAATTTTAACTGACGCCACATGTTGCCAAATTCAGGTGCTATTACAGTTCGTAAACCATTTTTTGATAATGATAAGGTTACTGATAGGTAATGCAATCCCAATTCAATAACTGGAAGTAATTGTGTAATAGAATTTGATTAATATACAGGGTTTCCTAAACATCGTGTGGAAGGGAATCACCCACATTCGGATTTACACGATGTTTAGAAACACCCTGTATTCAGCAGTTTTATAGCGATTCTTTTGGCCACTCTGGAGTAGATTATAGGACGGAGTTTGGAGTGGATTTAGAGTAGATTAGGAGGAGTAAAGGAAAGTAAAAGAATCATATTAGTTCTATGAGGACTTATAAAAATTAGATTTTTATTTCTATAAATGAAGCAAGGTCACCCTTATTCATTTACCCCCACACATGTTACGGTACTACACGAGGGTTTGACTTGTCAGAATAATAAAAATATGTATTATAGATACAATTCCAGTCCATTTACTCCCACATTATATTAATTAGTATTTAAATGAAGCGTCTAAATGCAGGTACTCCGCATATTTTACTAAGCAAATAGTGCAATAAATAAACGCTCCGCGATTAGTATTCCATAGTTTTTTTATGCACAAAACAAAACGACAAGTCATTCCCATTCCGTAACAGTTTTATATTGATGTTAGTAATATTATTATAATTGCTTTGCAAGTACTACAAGGTTGTTTCGATTTGTTTAAATATTTAAAATTAGCGTCTGTAACTATTTTCTGTTAACTAAGTGACTCGGTCGTTTTCTTGAATGATTCATTGGGAAAAGGAATAGGCATTGAAACACCAAATAGAAACCCTACCCTTTGTTATTTACACGACATTTAAATTCCACGAAGGAGGATTTCAATTTTGGCTAATTTTGGTTATCAAAGGAAGATGGTTTTTGATTGTGAAATATCACATCCTACTTCCTTTGTCGTCAATGTATTTCCCATAGATTTTAAAGTTTGTATCTGGGGAAATTATTTTTTTTAAATAATTCGAGGTTCGTTGAACTCATAGCCTTTGATGGGATAAAAAAGGGATGCAGGAATAATTTTTGCCAAAATTTCCTTCCTTGGTGTTTTACTATATCTACCTAATGTTTAATGAACGCTCACTTAAGAATTATTACTAAAACTCGCAATGATGCAAGTACGGTATAAAAAATGCCATTATTTTAGAAGTATAGATATTATTTCAATTAAAAAATCATCTACTGATGGATCCACCAATTTGGTGTCCAATTTTAACCGCCGCCTTCGAACGAACTTTGTTAAAACTATTGCAATCGGACAAATCAGTATTCTTGGAATGAATTATGTAAATATTCGAACACTCATTTTTAAAACCGGTTATTTCTTTAAATAGATACTGAAATTTGTTTAAAGGAGACCAAAAAAATGAAATGTCATCTAGGTATACTATAGTGCTAATGAATATAATCGTAATTACTTTACAACGTACATTTTAATTTTAGTACCTGTAAAAAATATAATATAGTTAAAAAAATATAGTTGGAGTCATTAATATTAAAATGATTCTCTATACATATGTACATATAAAGCCTAAAAAATATTTTAAATCGTATCTAAAATGTTCTAAAGATCCTCAAACATCATAATTAACAAAAACTTCCACCGAAAGTAACCACATTCTAAAAATCTAAAATTTTAAACCCCTCAATAAATTTTCAACACCCTCAACACCCCTACACAAAATCTCTTTCTGCAAAATAAAAAAATCACCTTGTATACGTACACACATGCTCCCAAATTCCCAACAAACGTTAAACACCACAAAAGTATAAAACTGGTCGACTTTCTCGCGAGACCTTCAGTTTCTCAGTCGCTCGAGCGGATCCAACTAGACCGGTTCCTCTATCACAGTTGTACTTACACCGTTAAAAAAAGCCCTAAACTCAGTGAAAATGGCCCCGATTTTGTACTACAGCGACGCGAGTCCTGCCGCAAGGGGCACCCTGTTGGCCATCAAGGCGTTGGGCGTCGACGTCGAATTGTCGCCCGTAAATTTGGCCGCCGGCGAGCACATGACGCCCGAATACTTAAAAATGAATCCCTTCCACACCGTCCCGACGCTCAAAGACGGCGATTTCATCGTATGGGACAGCCACGCTGTTAATATTTATTTGGTAAGTTGATTGGAATTTTGTGTTATTTTTTTTTGTATTGTTGCTATAAAATTTTTATCTAGACGCGCGCACTGTATATTTACCGAAAATTAATCGAATTTGATTATTTTTACAAGATTTCGTTTAATTATTGTACTTTAATACCTCTACGAGTTGAATTTATTTTAAGAGATTATCCTATAGTTCCCGAGATAATTTCGAGTATTTATAATTAATCGAATCAATATCAATATACACAACGATATACAAATTTATACAGTGTGTCTTCGATACCACGAAATAAAAAATGTGAATTATGTGGAAAATATAAATTTGTTTACCTGAAACTTAAGTATTGTAATATAATCAGTTTTTTCCTGATAACACAAAAATATTCAAAATACAAAATTCATTTCCACTCGGCTTTTTACACAAACCTGTTCTCTACAATTCTTGACCTATCAATAACTTTCAAATAATTCCTGATTGTATTTCTAAACTAACCATAAGAGCGTTTTCACACGGTGCAATATATTGCAATTTATTGCTGCAATATCAATATTACATTACAGTTAAAATACAAACGTTGAAATGCGTAGAAAACTGCAATGCAATGTTGCGACAATTTATTGCAGTATATTGCAACAATATATCGCACCGTGTGAAAACGGTTTTACTCACAACTAATCTAAATCTAGTTAATTATCCTTATTGTTTAGTTGGAGAAATACGCCCCCAACAGCGATCTCTACCCTTCGGATCCCCAACAGAAGGCCACAGTCAATCAACGATTATTCTTCAACGTCGGCGTAATTTTCCCCAAATTGCAGGCGATCGTCGTTTCGCTTCTCAGAGAAGGAGCTAAAAGCGTGAGCAAGGACAAGGCCGATCAAGTTACCCAAGGTCTGTTAATCGACAGTTATATATCATTAATGTACCTACTAATGGTTTATTACACATAAAAGTTGGCTGTGGATAAAAATAGAAACACATGTAGTCGTAATTTTGTAGAATATTACTTGTTAAACTGAAATTTCTGGTTTAAAATACGTGCTACAATGACAGATTGTGTGACATTTCTGGTATGTCAATTAAACATGTCATTAATGACAGTTTGTCATTGCAGAAATTCCCCAGAATTACATAGCCGCCTTCGTTATAATAAAACCACTTTTAGATTAAATTCTATCGTAATATCGAGTGTATGTGCGTGCCTAATCAATATTTCTGGATATAATTCAACGCGCTAATATTACAAAGCGTTATTATTACCATTTAAATTCGCGCTACTATTAAACGTTATCAATAATAAGAAACGAGGCGCCACTTTAAGTGATTTTTTTTATCAATTATTTTGAATATTTTGTTGCAGCCTACAACCTCCTGGAGACCTTGCTGGAGAAGAGCCCCTACGTGGCCGGTTCCAGTCTGACCTTGGCTGATTTGAGCGTGATCGCCAACGTGAGCTCGTTGAACGTGTTGGTACCGGTTGCCGAAAACCGGTACCCGAAAATCAGCGAATGGATGGCCAAAATGAAGACGTTGCCGTACTATCAGGAGGCGAATCAAGTCGGCTTGGGGCACTTCGAAGGGATGGTGAAGAGCAAAATGGCTTGAGGAAGCCTTTGTCATTTGTCATTTGAGAGATGTTTTTGCTATACTTAATTAAGAATAAGTGCGAGGCGCTGTTCGAACCATATTGTTAAAACTTCAGTATTGACAGGATTCATTAATGCTTTTCATTATTTATGTATTAGAATTTTAATCAGTGTCAGTCGTTTGTTATTTTGAAATAAAATTTTTGGTAAATAATAAAAATCGTTGTAATTTAGTTTAATTCGATCACAGTAGGCTGTGCGTTGTGGGTGAACAAAAATGACAGGTGCTGATAGTTGTCACTTCCAGTTCAACGCAATTTTATTATGCAGGATAAATTATAGCGAAATAACTAATAAGATAGTTTTGTGATGAAATTAAAGGTAATCATCTACATGCATTCATATTAAATTTACGGAATATTTATTTGTAAATTTTTACGTCAAAAAGATTTTTGGAGTAAATGTCATATCTGTCAATTTTTATTGCTATTTTTGCTCTTATCGAATGGCCAACTTTGATTTATTTATTTATAATTACTAATATGCACAAAATTCAAAATAAATAAATCATTTGCTCAAGTACCTTATACTTGACGAACAGGGAAACATAAATCACGCTAAAGGGACATTACTCTGATTACTTTGATGAAAATGGTCATTAATGAATTTTAAAACGGTATATAAACATCCGTATAATTTGATTTAATCAGTGTCTGTTATCTAAAGTCGCTTTAGCAGAGGAAAATTGCGTAAAAATCCTCATGTATTTTATAAGAAAGTTTAACAAAAACGGTACGTTAAAAGTTACTACAATTCGTCACTAAATTTATCTGAATATTATGTATTGTTTAGATGACCCATTGAAGTATTTAATAGAACTAGGCTTTATGGAAATAAACAAAAATGGCTATAAAACTCTGTTGGCCTTTTCTTGCTTTATTTCGTCCAGTTTGGTAACAATCTTCGGCTTATTTCACACTTGCCTTTTATCCAACTGGAAAACTTGCAAACGGAACTTACCCTCAACAGCTGTATTCCTAATTGTAAGTTTTTTAAAACGAAACATGTTTTTCTTACGATCATTATGCGTGCTATTTTCAGTATAACATCATATTTCTCGTAGCCCTATTTTTTAAACCCAAAATGATAAGATTCCTATCGATTCTGCAACAAGAAGGAATTTGCTTGAAAAGCAACGAAAATGTATTACACAAACAGTGCTTCACCATAAAAGTATTATTTATCGGCCTTCGATTATTATGGTTATTCGCACTTGTGGTGGTGATGACGATGATGAAGACCTGCAAGTATACATTCGTGGAAAACATCATTAACAAAAGTGTCGGAGTCTATTGGCAAATATTCATCGTCTATTCACTGTCTTACGGGGCGTCGTTAATTGTGGCTTATTACGCCCTTAGTTTAATAGCACTTTACATTTACATTTCGAATCACGTAAAATTCCAATTTTCTGTTTTTAATACTTACTTAATTTACTTGAATTCTAAACGAGTAAAAAGTGATGCACTCGTGAGTATTGAAATTAAACGGGCTATTATCATGCACCAGAAATGTTTGAGGTAAGTACTGGGTGCTTAACTAATGATTAGATTTCAATTTTAACACCAGAAATGTTATATTTATTAACTCAAGATGGAGGTGAAGATCAACCAGGTAAATGACGTCAGAGTATGATGATTTGCCTAAATAATTACTATTTTTGAAAATAATATTTATCTTATCCAAATTAATTACTACTCCAGTTTTATCCAATTTTATTATGTTATGAAATTAATTGTTTAATCAATTATTTCTTCTAGTGTGTTTAAAGCAGCGAAATTTCTAATTGCTTCGTATTCCCTAAGCCTGGCTCTGTACACAATAGGAACATCTATTGTAGGTTTATATTTGCTGATGTTTGTAGGTTGGTTTTAAACTAATCAGAACTATGAATTATTCTTATCTATTTTAGGACGTCTGTTCATCAAACGATTTGTTTACCGGTTTACTATTAGTTTTATCAACATTGTATTTCGGTTGGTTCAGTTTTCTTGTACAAAATATTTTCAACGAGGTAAGTATTTATACAGTTAATTTTTGTGATTTTGTAACTGTTACTTTAGATGAACCAGGTTTATTTAAATTTAATGGATTTTCCATGGTACAACTGGAGTCAACAGAACAAAACATTGTTTCTAATATTATTATTAAAAAATTTACAACCATTAGAAGATAAATACTATGGTGTTCCAGCTTTGGATTTTAGATTTATGCTTCAAGTAAGTTAAAATTACATTTAATGAATTTCATCTAACTTGTACCCTTTAATTCCCATTTTAACTTGTTTTGTAGGTCATGAGAATCATTTACTCGATAACCGCTTTTTTTATTAACATTAGGAAAATTAATAACTCACAAAATTGAAAAATACACCAAAATTAATTCTAATCTTAGTGAATATAAAAAAATAGAAAATTAATGGTATCTATAGCAATTCTAACAATTTTGGTAATTATACAAACATTGCACAATCGATAATAGTGTATTATCGCATTTAAGCGTCTTATGAAAGTTCATTGCAAAATTGAACTCAATTTTGTCGTGTGATAATATAATTTTTTATATTACTCAAACTCGCAAACTCGAGTCACACCTAGTAGATAGAGCCTAGTATCATAGCTAATGGGAAATTCGTGTATTTACATAATAAACAATCAAAACGATGAACAATTTATTACATCAAGTACTTCCATGGGAAGGAATCACGCTAAAAAGATATTACTCAAACAATAAAAATGTTCATTATTGAATTGTAAAAGGAGCCTTTCGATAATTATCAAACTTTATTAACCTCAGTAGCTCAATCAAATTTCTGTTATCAAAAGTCCCTTTGGCAGGAAAGTTTGTGTAAAATTGTTCATGGATTTTACAAGCAAGTTTCACAGAAACGGTATGTTGAAAATTCTATTAAACATACAACATACCATTTAAATTTATATGTTGTTTAGATGATCCATTAAAGTATTTAATCGAAATGGGATTTATAGGAATGATCAAAAATACTTACAAAACTCTGCTTATCATTACTTGCTCTGTAGTGTCCACTTCGGGAACAATTTTCGGATTGTTCCACACTTGTTTCCTATCTAATTGGGAAACGTGCAAAAGAAACTTACCAACAATCGGTTTAATCATAATCGTAAGTTTTTTTTACAAAAACCTATATTGGATTTACAGAAGTTTGCTTATTATTTTCAGTACAACGCTTCATTCCTTGCAGCTCTTACTTTAAAATCGAAAGCATTAAATTTTATTTCAACATTGCACGAAGAAGGAAATTGCTTGAGTAGCATCGAAAACTCATTACACGAGCGATGCGGCGTTATAAAAAAAATATTTCTTTGCCTTCGATTGCTGTGGTTAGTCGCACTTTTGGTGGTAATGATGTCGATGAGGACCTGCATCAGGTATTCGTTTTTCATCGGGAACATCATCGACAAGGATTTCATCGGATCTTATTTGCCAATGTTCATCATATATTCACTGTCTTACGCAGCATCCCTAGTTGTGGCTTATTACGCCCTTAGTTTGATAGCTGTTTACATTTACATTTCGAATCACATCAAATTCCAATTTTCTGTTTTTAATACTTACTTATTTTACAAGAATTCTAAACGAGTAAAAACCGATGCACTCGTGAGTATTGAAATTAAGAGGGCTGTTATTATGCACCAGAAATGTTTGAGGTAAGTACTGGGGTGTTTAACTGAGGATTAAAGTTACTATACAACCAGATAAATGACGTCAGAGTATATTGGGTTGCCTAAATCGATTAAGCATCAGTTAAGCACCCAATTCTCTCCTCTTAAGAAGTTTATTATAGTATATTATTATTAACTGATGCTTTTTATAGGGTTTTTAAATCAGCGAAATGTTTGATGGCTTGGTTTTCTTTATGTCTGTCGCTATACACGATCGGCACTTCGATTGTGGGAATCTTTTTAGTGACATTTGTAGGATATTTTGAGAAAGACTAAAATGAGAAATTAACGTTATTAATTTTAGGACGATTGTTCAACAATGGAATTGGCAACCATTTCGCTGTTACTTCTGAACTTTTTCTCTTTCAGTTGGTTCAGTTATCTCGTACAAAACGTATTTGACGAGGTAAGTACCTATGGAGGTTGCAATTTAAGCTTTTGGTACCTTTAATTTTCTGTGTCTAGATAAACCAGGTGTATGTAAATTTAATCGATTTTCCTTGGTTCAATTGGAATCAACAGAACAAAACAACGTTTCTGATATTACTATTAAAAAATGTACAACCTTTAGAGGATAAATATTACGATATTCCAGCTTTGGATTTCAGAATGTTGCTTCAAGTAAGTTTTACGAATTTCATTTATCGTTTACTCCCTACTACATAAAATGCTTTATAGGTCACCAGAATCATTTACTCAATAGTAGCATTCTTTATTAACATTCGTAAAATTCAATAACCACCAAATGTAACGATTGCATAAAATTTAATAAAAACCTTCAAGCACCCTTCTCGTCACCATTCAATTACTCAACATCAACCAGCTCAAGTAGCTCGAGATTTTCGTGAACACGCTGGGAAAACCGATGGAACAGCCCAAGGTGCTTCCGTACGAACCGATTCCGATCTACAAAAAAAACCACCAGCGATAAATCACAATTGTACACCGAACCTTAGGACGTACCAATACACCGTCCAAAACCAGCGGAGCGCCCGCGTCCCCGCGACAAATGCCCTTCCTCTCGACTCCCGTCGTGCATATCTGGGTGGGCCTGATGTTCAAGGCGTAGGACAACTCGCACATTAGCACCGGAATGATGGTGAGGTTCTGGTACCTCAGCACGTCGCTGGTGTCTTGCGTGGTGTCGCTGGTTCTTCCCCAGCCTAAAGCTGTGGCTTCCTTTTCGATGTACGCGTCTATTATATCGGTCACGTCGGGAAGCTTCACGCTTTGAATGTTGGCTGGAAAAAGCAGATATAAGAGCGAATATAAAGGAATAAATTGCTCGAGATGGAGGTCCAGAGGGTTGTGTTGAAGGTACCAAAGGTGGCTCTAGGGATTGTGGAGTAAAGGAGTAAATTGTATGAGGAAAAAAAGGAAGTTTCAAGAAGTGTTTAAGAAGAAACATGAAAGAATAAAAGAATGCAATTAAGGACCTATTTGGCCCGAAGAAAGTAAAATTTCTAATATTAAACTTAGTACCAACCATTAAAACTAATCTTCTTAGGTAGCTGAATCAAAGCGATGTTATCGAGAAGTTTAACTGTATCAAACTTTTCGTGAATAATAAACTGATTTGCTTTGATGACTTCTCTGCCAGTCTCGGCGCCATTTGTGATGTTATGAGCGCCTAAAATTACTTCGGCCTCCGAAGCCCTAGAAAACGATACATAAAAACGCGATGTGTTAAAAATTTAGTGTAAAAATGAAGTACCCGTTCAGACAAGTAGCTGCAGTTATTACTAAATAATCGCTGATTATAGCTCCGGAACATAATACCTCAATATCGTTGATTGTTGTTCGAATGGCTACCTAAAATGCAGATCAACTGGGTAGGTAAATCGAAATTTACGTTACAGACTGTTTAATATTTTACCACGTATGGTCTGGAATGAGGGACCACTTCTGTTCCGTCGATGATTTTTAGGCTTTTGGTCGCATTAGCTCCATTAGGTTTCGCTAAAGCCTGAAATATTGGTACAAGATTTGATCAGAGATATAAGTAGATTTTAACTTACCGATGCACCAAGACTTAGTACTAAACAATATAAGAAAAATGGGCTTGTCATGATTAATAAACACCCGAACGTCCGTTTCAACTGGTTAATTTTATTGAATACATTAAAATCCTATCTTATCGGTGAACACATAACACACTTGTTGATATTATCATATCTTACGATTAATCAAATCGTGCTTAAACAGGTGATTTAACCAAGTTAAGCAATTGCCATTAATAATTCACATTAGGTTCGGTTTCTTACGGGAAGAAATTGAAAACGAGATATTATCCATACTGATCTTTTATTCAATATAAATCTGCACATACTTCATACAGTAAGTCTTGACAGAACATTTACAGGTGCACATAGGAAAAAAGACTGACAGACACGGTTACTTCTTTCTCGTCAATAATAAAAAAAATTCAAGCCAACTAAAGCAAAGAATATTTCAATTAATAGAAAAAAAAATTTAATTCATTTACGCAAATACTCGAATATATTAGGGAAATAATTTAAAGTAACGGTGCCTGAACTAATCAAATTCATTAAACACAGAAAATTCAGAATATTTATAAAATTGGGGATTAATATAACTTAATACTAAGTCAGTCCTAGAATGACGTATTATTAAAAATATATCTAACATTTAAGATATCATCGGCTAGCGTAATAAACACGAACATCAAACTACCATTATTTTTTTTTCTTTAAATATCACTCAAAGCGAGTGCGAAATGAAACAAATATATTGTGCACGCTAGTCGACCACACACCAAACATTTAGCTGATGAAGTGGTTCTTCAGATACTTCATCATACCGAACGTACGGAAACGCTTCGTACCTATCACCTTCATCAAGGCGTCGTCGCAAATGGCGTACTGCTTGTTCTTCGGATCGTACAAGTCCTTCTCTTTGATGATGGCCCAAACTTTCTTCACCACCTCGTGTCGCGCCATCGAGTCCTGACCGACCAGGGCGGCCAATTCCGGCGACAGGGTCATTACTTTCGTGTAACCGCTACCACCTTTTCTAGCTCCACCGCCGCCTCCCTATACACACAAAGAAAAAATAGATCAATTAACAAGGTCATTCATTCTAAACTCAAATACAGGCTGTTAATCAATGCAATGTACTTATTTTAACGGGTGATTCTTGGGCTAATTTTGAGTCGAGAAGTTCAACACCCTGTACAGCACAGTATAGGAGTACTGAGTTCAGTACAGGAGTATTGAGAACAGAGAGTATAGGAGTACGGAGTTTAGTATAGGAGTATTGAGAAAAATACAGGAGTACTGAGTTCAGTATAGGGTTATTGAGAACAGTATAGTACTGAGTACCAGTACAGGAGTATTGAGTACAGTATGGAGTACTGAGTGTCGAGAGGATAGGACATGACTGATCTTACTTTTTTCCCTTTTTTCTTTCCCCAATCCTCGTCTGAATCGGATTCGGAGCCCTTCTTCTTCTTGGGAGGAAGTTTGCGCGTTTTGATGGGCTTCGACTTCTTCGGGGAGTACTCCTCTTCGGAATCGCCGTCGCTCTGCTCGCTGACGGACTCGTCGTCGGAGACCTTCTTGGCCTTTTTCGCCACCGGTTTCTTGCCAGTCGACGAACGCTTCTTCTTCTTATCGTTATCGGATTGTTCCTAACGAGTTAATTATTGTACGAATGAATGTACGAACACAAAAAAAAACCGGCGAAAATACACTTACGTCTTCGTCCTCCTCTTCCTCTTCTTCTTCCTCCTCCTCCTCCTCTTCCTCGTCGTCCTCGTCCTCGTCGTCGGAGGCCTTCTTGCCCTTCTTCTTGCCCGATTTGGGATTGACGAATTCCATTACGAGATCGTCGATTTCCTTTCGCCTGGGCAACATGTTAGCGCCCAGTTTCTTCTCGAGGTCCTGACGGACCTTTTTGGCCGACGTGGCCGACAGATCGGCATCCTTGAGGATGGCTACAGGGTGGACAAATAAAATATAAAAAAAAATAGAACGAGCTATAAGAATGGAATATGTTCTAATCAAAAGGAGAATTGTGGAGTAGAAATCGTAGTAAAATAAGGCGAAGGAGTTGTTTAAAAGAGCGTGTTATTTTACAAATTGCAAATTTTTGATTTTTAGTTTAACAAAGGGATTGCGTTTTCGTTGCCCCGCTTTCCCCCAACAGTGTGGAGAGAACGAGAGGTGAGGGGACGTGGGTCGAATTTGGCGGCATTCGAGTAACGCATGCGCACCGAATGCACAGTGTATTTACAAAACCAAAATTCCAAAATATCAAAAATCGAAAATAAAGCGAATTGTTGAATGAAACCCCGTAAAATAAACGCCCCGCTGTATTAAAAAGGCTAAATAGGCGTTGAAGAAATATTAAAACAAAGAATTACATTCGAAATTAAATTATTCCTTATAATTTCCATTAATAATTAATAAATAGTGATGCATTAAAAGTGGAATAAAATGTATATAAAAGACCAACCCGAACATTGACAAAACGAAATATGGATGCGTAACGAAGAGAGAATTCTGTGACAAAAGGGGATATTTCAATGGCCCGAAACACGTTAAACAAAGAGTATAAACAAAAAAATAAAACGTACAAATTAATAATCGAAGTCTTGTCTTTCGATTATTTATCATAAACTTTTGATGTCGTTAGCTGCAAGTCGAATAAAACGGCATTTTCCGTACGGACAATACTCGATACCTACGCGGTGTCGTCCCGTTTCGTGTACAGTCAGTACGAACAAAATAATCAAATTTTGAGAAAAATTTCTCGAAATAGCCGGAATCGCTTGGAGAAAAACTCCTACGAAAATCGGAAATAAATTTCTACACCGATTTTGTCGGCAGCATTTTTCTGTACGCGGCGTAGTTTTCGAGAAAAATCCGATTTTAGTGGCACTCGAACGACCGACTCGCAATAGAGCGTCGTTCAGCCATTGTTTATTCCAACGTTATAAGTCCGTCTCGTACAGGAGTAAATGCCCTGTTTTCGACTGTTAACCCACGAAAATCCATTAACAAAAATCGTCCCGAAAAAAATTACGAACTCATTTTTGTACGTTTCGCGGCTTCTGGCGTTAAATGTATTCAAATATCGTCACTTACCGGCAATTTCTTTGCGAAGATCTTCCTTTGAGATGTCTGCCATGATGATAGAAAGAGCGAACTAGATGCGGAGAGCGAGACGGAATTACAAGTTCATTCAACGACCGTAGGTTTCGGCTTGACGACTGGACACTCTGAGGCAGATTGGGGAACTGGGGCAAATCAAATCTAATAGCACGCCGCTCCGCCACGACTGGGGAAACCTGTAACACCACCCCCGTTCGATTCATTACAAATTCCCTATAAAAAATAGCTAAAGTTTCATTTTCATTTTCATTTACCTAATTATCGATTGCTTGTGTCTTTTTTTTAAGGGATTGTAGGTTTCGAACGAACGTTAAAAATGGTATTTAGCGAACGAGGATTTATTCTTTGTTACAAAAACCAATACGATTCTTTTCGTTTTTTAATATTAAAACTGTCAATGTCAAATTTGCATTATTATACACACGCTATTATTGCAAAATATATGACGCCACAGAACATACATAAACAAGAAGGGACATCTCCGTGAGAATTTCGTAGACGTTGTAGAGCGCACTCTGAGAGTAGTAGCTGTACTAAATTAATGGGTGTTGCCTAGTAAAAGGGGATATCATGTAGAACTCTACACTAAAATTAGTAATATAGGTTTTTTATTCGATTTTTTCTGACTTTTAATATTATCCAATTTCTTGTAGAACTTGTACAATTTGTTACATTATTATAAAATGTATAGAATTTTGATATAGATAGTAAAATAAATTGTACAAGTTTTACAAGAAATTGGATAATATAAAAAGTAACTACTCTCATAAAATAAGTAAACACAAACACTTCTACTTAAAAATATATTGAAAAAAATGTCAAAATTCATTAAATTTAAATAAAATCGCTAAATAAACAAATATTATGGCGGAACCAGAAAAATTCACTACGCGCTGTAAAAACAAGCAATAGAACGAAAGATTTAACTTTAACTTTACACAATTCCTCACTAACAATTCACTAACACTACTATACACAAAACTTATACAACTTACAGGCAATAACAATGCCTTTTAACCTCACTCGAAAACAAACGAAATAAATGAAAAAAAATAACTTTTCGGTTTTAACTTCATCTTGCACTACAAGAGAAAATATGCAGAATCGATGCGAATCAATACAAGACGCCATTATTGTTTTTGAAATACGGCGTTGAGCGGGTTGCTTGCGCTGACCTGAAATAAACTACTGTTGCGCCATCTATCAATAGCGCCGAAACTAAATGAAAGTCTAAAATTTCTCATAAGGCTGTCTAGGCCCTGTATGACGCGATTTTCAGCGACATCTGTAGTTATCCCACAAAAGTATAGTAGAAATACATTCTGTGGTTTTAAGGAAAAAAGTTAGTTTTATTGCCGTTAGACAACAAAACATTAATAATATTCGTTATCAACATTTTGCACTTTAATTTTAGTATTGTTATTTTATTTCTAGCTTTATTTTAAATTTAAAGCACAAACACTTTAATTTAATTAACTGTATTTTCATGTATAGAGTACAGATGGCGCGATCTACAAGTTTTCAAATTTTAACCAATCAAAATAAAATGCCTTAAAATATGGATCGCCTATTCCTCCTAAATTACTAATTCAATTACAAATTACTTGTGAAATTTAAATTTGACCTATAATTTCTTGTTTTAGACGTAAATTTTGGTTATCTGACATTCTCTTTGTCATTTGTCATCATTGTCATCAACTGTCACGTAATTTTGAGGTTAGGTTAATAAAAGTGGTGTTTTTGTTGTTGTTTTTATTTATTTCAAATAAATAAATTATTTGTTTATGCCTTTTGCATTTTCATTGTCGCTTTTATCTTGCCTTTTGCATCTTTCTTTCTTTGTTGACCATGGTTAGATCAAGAGTACTTCACGTCCAAGATATCTCCCTAAAGAGGTATTATAAAATTTGAGGTTATATACAGTTTTTGTTATGTAATATGTAATAAACCGAATGATAATAATTAAACAGTGTATTTGTTGTAGGATTTAACTTCGAACATATATCTAGTAACTTCATAAAGTAACTTTGAAGAAAACTCCATCGATCGATGGAAGAAACCAACTTGATAGAAAAAGTAGAGTGGTTCAAGTTCAAAGTAATTACTATCAAATAGATGAATTTTGATACTATCTAACTGAACAATAGAAAAACTGATAACTCGACCAAATATTGATAACTAATTAGGTAAGTTTAACAACAATAAACCAACTAACTACTTATTGTGGAGAGTAATAAAAAATAATAGCATTTATAATTTGAAAGTGTCTGCGATAAAAATCATTCTCATTATAAAGAAAAATTTTGTGACATAGTCTTACAATCGTTCTCCGTACTTATAATTTTTAAAATTTTAGGTATGTCTTCAAGTGTGATATCAGTATTAACCAGATTTACTAATCTACCAGATGCACTAAGAAAATGCGTACCAACTAAAATATTTCACCATGTAGAAAATCCAGGTAAATTCCCCATCAATTAATCAAAGGAATATCAACTACTAAGAGAGTCCTCTACTTGTAACAGAAAGGCATTTTTAATATTAATTACAACTGTATTTTTTAGCGACCGATACACAATTCAGACAATCCGAGATAATCATATCGGACAGCGATTTGTTAGTAAATCATATAAATAATTTACCGAAGGTAAAATGGATTCAAACGACTTGGGCTGGCGTTGAATCGCTAACAAACGCCGTCGATCCGTCTGAGCCACCTAAATTTCCCGTTACTAGATTCACTGGCAAATATTACGGCCATTTCATGAGCGAGTATTGCGTAGCACAAATTATTAACTTTGAACGGCACATGAAGTATTTACTAGAAAATCAGAAATCGAAGATTTGGGAAAAGAACGAGTTGACCAGAGGGTATAGGGCTCTTTTCGAATTGACCGTTGGAATTATGGGACTCGGAAATATCGGATTGAGAGGTATCCACTAACAGTGTAAATTATGAAACATTGATTAACTTTTAACGGATTGTTTTTAGTTGGCAAGACTTTGCACATGATGGGATGCAATGTTATAGGATACGGAAGACGATCAAACTTTGATTCAGAGAAGAATAATTTTGTATCGATGTATTTTTCTGGAAACGACCTTCGAGATATGCTGCGAAAATGTGACTATGTCATTAATCTTTTACCAAACACTAAAGTTACAACAGGATTTTTGAATGGCGATGTTCTAGCAAATTGTGCAGGTATTAAGATGTAGGATTAATTCGCAGATATATCTAATTTGTAAGATGTGTTTTACCTGAATCTCCCTGGTCAATTGACAATGTTTGATTTATAGATTAATTTATCTGCACATTTGTAATTACACTATTGGATTTACCATTATATTATATCTTCTTTTCTTAGAAAGGGGAGCTGTTTTTATCAACGTCGGACGTGGATCTGTAATATCTGAAGATAGTTTGATGAATGCCCTGAAAAACAAATGGATATCTGGGGCTATTTTAGATGTTATTGATAGAGAACCACTACCTTCTTCTAGTCCATTATGGGATTTACCAAATGTAAGTTTTGAGGAAATAAAAGTAATATGAGAATGGTGGAAATGGTTTTGACATTTGATTTTTACTCTTTAATTATTATTAATTTGTATACTTAATTGATTTTAGGTGATAATTACTCCTCATGTATCTTGTGTTAGTCGTGTCCAGGATATGGCGGATCAGTTTAAAGAAAATTTAGCTCTTTATGAACAACAATTGCCCATTCCTTACACTATTGATTTTGTTGCAGGATATTAAAAAAAATATCAAATTAAAGCAATTTAATAACAAAGAATCATCAATAAATGGATGAGTTCATACACGTTAGAGAAGAACTGTAATTAGACTAGGACCCTCTAAAAAATGCCTGTGATTAATAATCATAATTGTAACAAAATTATTTTGTTATGCATATAGAAGAAATACTGGGTGATTATTATTAGTAGATGTATTAGGAGATGTATTAGTAGATGTATTAGGAAAATATGTTACCGTTTCTTTTTTGCTATATTATCATCCATTTATTTACATTTATAAAATACTGAAATTATATTTGTCGTTACTATTGGCATTTTTTACTTTCCTTCTTATCCTCAACTTCTGAAAAATTGTAGTTTCACACCATGTAACGTGTAAGTACAGTGGGTATTTACCGAATAAATTTATTTTCCAATAAATACAGTCGAAGCAAGGTAGCTTAGTGGCTAGTTGTTGGTCTGACACCTAGGTATATTTATTGTGCAAAATGTAAAGAATTTATTTTCCAAATACCTATATGTAATAGCTATAAATTTTGAGTTTTTATAGTTCTATTTTAAGAGGCGTAGGCGCTGAACTTCACTAAGAAAATCTAGGATATCTATTCAATTAGTAGATAAGCTGTTAAAAAAATAAAAGTGTGGATAATGATCCGAGTGGAATAATTCCTGTGTCATAAAGTTTCTTGTCTGTAGCTACAGTCGGTGCAAAACAAATATCAATTTACGTCACCTACAGGTAATTTACTACGTCACAAGTAGGCAGTGTTACCGAATTTTTATAGAGTTTACAAAATATAAGAATTTTCTAAAATTAACTTTTCTAAGTTAACTTTTAAAAGTTAGGCACAATGCTTGGCAAGTTATATGAGGACATCAGTAGTGACGTGCATTGATATTTGTTTTGCACCAACAGTACTTTTTAACCCACAACACAAGAAATTTTACAAATCTAATAAACTTTGAACAAATTACTCATGTCGCGGATTAAAGAAGTTCCAGATTTTTAACAAAATATGTACTCTTTTATACAAGCAACTCGAAATAGAACGAAACGCCAGCCGGGGATTAACCTACATGAGGCATTTAATCGCCGATAGAAAAGAAAAACAAAAACAAATCTCAAGACGCGCGACGCGGGCGTCGCATCTCCACGAGACGCCAATGCAATTTCGTCGTCCTGTGACCTGATTTTTAAATGCGTTTCCTACTAGCCGAACTGAAAACGTACACGTACCCGCCGAAACCGCGACCGAAAACGGAACCAACTCCTTCGATTGGCGCGTTTTATCGCGGCGGTGCATCAAGCGAGTGCCCCGCAAGGCCATGGCCTTTGGTTTGGTGCGCGCACTCGTTTTATTCGGCGGTGCGTAGGCATTGCGGATAATTAACGTTTCGCGAAATAAACACCCACGCGCCTCGATAATTCCATGCCGAGTTTTATATTTCGTTTTCCAAACATCGCCCGCTCGGGGGTTCTTGATGCAAGTCTTATCGAACGATAACCGGAGGTGCGTTCGATAAATGTATCGGGCGAATTTCCTCTTTAAAATCCTATTTTTCTTCAGTTTAATTGATATAAACTAAAAGCGAGCGACGATCCGGCTATGTAACTGTCTAAAACCGACGAAAAAATACAAAAACTACTCGTAAACTAAAAAAAAAAATACAGGACAAAGGCAAAAATCGCTGCGTATCATTTAGAACACCCCAGAATCATTTATAGAACTGTCCAAAAACATTTATTAAAACTCTTCAGAACTATTTAAAACGGTCTATAACCATTCAGAACGCTCCAGAACCATTTAGAACCGCCCAGAAACATTTAAAACTCTTCAGAATTATTTAGAACGGTCTATAACCATTTAGAACGCTCCAGAAACATTTAAAACTCTTCAGAATTATTTAGAACGGTCTATAACCATTTAGAACGCTCCAGAACCATTTAGAAAGCTCCAGATAACCATTTAAACCTATCTAGATTCATTTAGAACTGTCTAGAATCATTTAGAACGCTGCAAAATCATTTAGAACGCTCCAGAACTACTTAGAACTATCTAGAACCATTTAGAACTCTCCAAAACCGTTTAGAACTGTCTGTAACTATTTAGAACGCTCCAGAACCCTTTAGAACTGTCTACATTCATTTAGAACTCTCCAAAAAATAGACAAAAATCGCTGGGAAAGTCACAAAAACAACAAATTGTAGTCAAAACCTGTCAACTGTAAATAGCAGAATTTTAAAGTAACAATATGCCAAAAACGTACGAACTGCTTTTGCGTAAAAGATATTAATCAAAGACTTCCTTCCCACTTTTCCCTACTTTCCCATAACTGTACCTAAATGTTAAAAGGTTCAATTTTTGGGACACCCTATACCAACAACTATTATCTATAAAAAAATGTATCCATGCCCAGATTGTTGGTTATATTCCTAGGTGTTGGTTCTTTAATGAGTTTTATTTATTGCTTATGAACTCCAATACTCTTCATGTGTAATGAATGTGCACAGGTATATTTACGCGAATCTTCCGCTAGTGCTTTATCATCCGTGAAGGTACACTTAAATTAGACATTATATTGATGCAGTTTGCCTAATAGGTATTTAAAAATTGTTCAGTAGATTAGTAACATTGTGCGTTCGGATAGGGAATTATGCGCGAGATCAATCACGTGACTAAGCAACAGAAATTTCAATGTTCCATGGTGCATACACAGAACCTGAAGAAAATGTCTTTAGATAGGTGTACCAAGAAGTTATAGACATTCTCCACATTCTACAATATCTAGATTCTTGATTTCTTTATGAACCATAGAAGACTAAAATTTCTATTGCTTTTAGTCTTCAGCTTAGTCTTCTAATGCTAGAAATCTAGATATCCTAAATTATGGAGAAACATGCAAATTCTATTTCTACTTCTTCAATACAATCAGAATCATCGCTATACATTTACATTGGCTACTTTCATATTTATGTAAGAAATCACAATCGAATTAGGTATGTAGAATTTCTCTGGTATAATTTAGTATTATCACGACAAAACAACGCTATTCCTTAGGAAACAACCCAGCGTTTACGGTAATTTCGGTATCGATTCGAATTTTAAATCGACCGATATCCCGCACTTATCAAAGCAGTTAGGCATATCGACCATTATTTAGCCAGAATCTGCGCCGCCATGCGACCGTTTGAGGATAAGACAGTCCGATATCCAAACGGAACATCATATCAGGCACCTATTAATTATAATATTGGAGTGCGACAATAGCAAAGCGACGGAATCAGAGGGGCCGTAAATCTCCGTTTCGCGTCCGCGTCCGCCTCGTAATCTAATAATTTAAAATTTAGACCGAAGAGAAATGGATCATGCGAATAACGTAACGGACGTCGAAATAAATCACGAGCGCAGCGCTAAGATTAAATTGTGTTGTTGCATAAATAGACGAAAATAGAGTTAATTATAGAGCCGGGGGAGAGTCGTAAAAATGGCGCACCGGAGGCCGCTCTAACTGTATACCTAAAGCGAGAGACACGAATGCCTTTATGCGAATCTTATAGAAATGCTCTATAAGTGATTTTATGCGTGATTGCTTCGCGAGAAATTCTTTGATTGTGCTGTCGATTAATAATTATTATTAATTCTACTTACTATTCACAGTGGCTGTTTTAATTTACTTACTGTGCAAAGGGAGGAAGGAGATCTCAAAAAATAATCTCCGTCTAGATCTCTATAAATCTTGGTAATTCTTCTTCATGACACATTTAAATAGTTATTTAACTCATATAACTAGTAATTCTTCTTTCCCTGCTGTAGATCATAATCACTTTAGGTTTTCCAAACAGGTTCTTCAGGAGTTATTCTTGAGTTGTTCTTGAGTTCTTGGATTATTTCCATCATATCTTTGTGGACCTTTCCAAGTTTCATGCTGTAGTGTCTCCACGTTTTTGTATATTTTCTCAACCTTCTCCTGATCTTTGCAAATCTCTTTAAACTTTTCGTCTTTGCTAGTGTTAATAAAAATGCTGTAGGTATGATCGTATACGTTTATGTGATTAGTTAGTATGTAGTTATCTTAATTTCAAAGGCTTCTGGGACCGGCAACAACCAATTTAATTACAGTTAAATTTGGTTAAATTAGGATTAGAATTAATATAATATGAGTAAATGCACTCCGGTATTCATACGTACGCATAAATTGAATATCTCGTGAGCGTTCGCAGTAGCATAAAACGGTGTTGCTTATTTTACTGGCTACAATTCGTAGCTTTTCGAGAATTAATTATAAAATAACATGCACGTTTCCCCTAATTATCCGGGGGTTTCGCGGGTTCGCCAAGGGAAGCATTATTTCTAATACAGTTGGATACAAAATTTTGATAGCTCGAAAAATTTATTAGGAAACGAAAGTTGAGCATAATATTAATGATAGCGAATTGTGTGTAATTCTCGCAATGTCACAGCGTATAAAAGTCGTTACGAAAGCGATCATCTCTCACTCGAATCGACGATCTCGAAGGCAAAAGCGGGCGCAACGGTTCAAAATCGACCTCAAAGGCACGTCCAACATCTGATAACAATAACGTCCCACCTATTCCTCTTCTGCTTCAGTAAATCCTTTCTCTACACTGTATAATAAAATTAACACTATTGTCCGGAGATGTGCGCGCTCCATCTAAAACGGTTACTCCGAGTTTTCGCTAATAACAGTATCTGACAAAATCTTATCGCCCATCGGAGCGCGAGTAAAAGCTAAATGCCTCATAACCATATGGGGATCAAGGTGTTTTATTACGTCTTCGAGTTGATTTGCGAACAGGGGAAATTGAGAGAAGTCGTGAAAATGGTTAAAATTCGATAGCGTTTGTTTGCGTAGGTGCTCCTATCCTACGGTTATATTTTACAGTGGTGGAGACACCATTACATTCTTTAACCATCTTAGATTTTTGGTAGGTTTTGGTGGGATTTGTAAGATATTTTATGGGGATTTAAAAGTCTTTTC